TCAAGTGTAAATTGATAAAACAACTTGATAATTCGTAATAAATTGACAATTTTTAAATAACAATATACGAATTTTATAGCAAACCTTTGTACACAACGTAACATGCATGTCCAAAAGGTTAAATGTCTAAGTCACAAATCGTTTATGAATAAGTGAAAAAGGAAACTCGCATGAAAACACAAAGTTACAAATTTCGCGTAGCATCAGTTTCCTCAGTTTCAAAACAAATTCTACGTATTCTACTCTCAGTTTCAAAGTAAACGGCCCGATTCGTCCGCGCTCGACAAAATCCATCCATCGAGTATCTCATAGAGCAAACACTCTCTTATTAACATAATAACAATCCTTCAAATCGGCCAACGCACACCGGATTAGCAAACTCGAGCCAAGTCCCCACGAACCAGACGGCGATTCACGATTCGCGGCGAATCTATATCGTGCACGGGCTACACTTTCAGATTAAAGTCCACGACAGAATCAACAACGCGGGAACGCAATCGTTTACGCACGCTACCCGCGACCGATCTATTTGCCCGGAGTTCGGGGCGCGCTCCGAACCAGCCAGCCAGCCAGCCAGCCACGCGACATAATCTCCAGCTCCAGTTACGAGTTATCGAGTCCGATCCTACCCATACCGAGGATAGGTTCGATCAGCATCGGCTTAACTATTTAGAATCTCTAACCGTACTTCCGGGATTTACTTTGACGGACCGGCGCGGAACAGCCGGGCCGGCTGTCGACGAATTCGTGTTCCTGGCACGCATTGTCCAACCTATGCATGCATGCACGATGTTTGCACTGGCCTGGCGATTATTGCCGGCCGTTGTTTGGCCGTGTGTGTACGTACATACGTAGGGGAAAACTGGGGACCACACTCGAGTCAGAACCGGACACTACGAGGAGAAGTTGCACGAGTCTCTCTATAGCTCTGGCGGAGAGCGGAGAGCTCGCTCGAGTACACCGCTTTCTAACATTGAACGCGGTAGCGGACCGCGTTTGGAATGGGGAAGTTTCGAACGATAGCGAGACGTGAGCTGGACAGAGGGCCACCGGAACCAGCGCCTCGTCCCGCATACGTAAGTTTCCCCGAGATTTACGGCGCACGCGAAACGACCGTGCCGCGAGGAAGATAAGGCCTCGATCGAGATGCAAGCGCGACGGAAGAAAGCGCCGGCCAGACGGATATTTAGGATAAACCGCCGGCTTATTTACTGGAGATGTATCCAGCCAAGGGGTCCAAGGATCCTATTGTTTATTGTTACAGTGCTCAAAGCACTAGGCGTTTCTCAAACAACATTATTTTTAAGTTACTTCGGAAGTAATCTGTTTGTAAAATATTACAAAAGTATAGCGTTTCATGTAAAAATTAAATTAACTAGATTTAACAGTCAAATGATTTATTTGTCATTTCGTGAAATATTTTATTTACTATTTGGGCGTTCGGGATCTGGCCGTTTTGAAAAATTCTCGAATAACGTTACTTTTTAAAGTTACTCTTTAAAAGTTAGTTTAAAGCTAGTTCATATATATTATAGATATAGTTTATATATCGATTATATCTAAGATATAATAATTCTTTTATGACGCGTATATATAAAAAAAACAGTGGCACGTTTCATGCAGTCGAGGCACTAATACTTCCACGAAATCCCGTTTTAAAAAACTGCGATATACAAACCAACGAACGTCTCAATTAACGTTTTATAAAATCACGGATCGGTGGAAAATGTTTAATCATCTCTTGACACACGTGTGTCGCGTGTCACGCGTCATGTACACGATTGAAAACCGCGATCTCTCTAATATCAATCATATTTCAACGTGCGCCAATCGCGGAAGACTACGAATTGCCGTAGGAACAAACACTAACAAGGATTATCGGATCCGGGGAATTTAATTGATTCAAAACAACGTGGTACGGCACAACGCGCATACGGATCTATTGACCGCGCATAATCTGGCGCCAGGCCGATCCATCCCAATTCGTATTCCAACGTGTTTCCATTCAATTTCGAGCTCGCCGCTTACGGCGAAGTCTAATTTGAAAATCAACTGTGTCTTAGGCTAACACGCGTACTTCCGCCGTTGGTTACCGCCGCGCCGGCGACGACAATGCAACCGCAGCCCGTAAGCCAGGATTACGATGAGCTTGGACCGGTTCTATACGACACAATATCAATCATGTTCAGTTAGTTAAAGTTTCCCCCTCCCCCTTCCCTCATTCGAGTCGCCAACGTAACGCAAACCCCACCAGGCGAAGTGAAATTAATATTCCGCGGCTAACGTGCGACGAGACTGGGACCGACTTGCGCGCCGTTCCAATCAAATAGAATTTCCACGTTCCGCGAGGACGTTTAACATCTTGCGCTGGAATAACGTGCAACGTACGTCGAGATCTTTTTTTGTTCCAAATTGCAACATTTTCTCAGTTTCAAATATATCTAAATGTAACTCAGGCGAAAGAAATGATAAGTTTGTTATTTCTTAGTAATTTCTATCCAGTCATATCGTACCGAACGAGTTCAAAAAGAAAGCGACGAATTATTCTGTACGGTTTGGTCACTCGTTATGGTCCGCAGTCAGTTGTCAGCGCAAGTGATTAACTTGCGCTGGAATGACGTGCCACGCACGTCGAGACTTTTTTGTCCCAAATTGCAACATTTTGTCAGTTTCAAATATATCTAAATGTAACCCAGGCAAACAAATGATAAGTTTGTTGTACTTCTTAACAATTTCTATCTAGTCAGATCGTACCGAACGAGTTCAAAAGGAAAAGAAAGCGACTCATTATTGTATACGGTTCGGTCACTCGTTATGGTCCGCGAACAGGTTGCCAGCGCAAGGGATTAACAAGCGGATACGTTCACACGTAGACAAACTGGAGGGAAACGCTCCACGCGTCGTTGCAACGATTAAAGTGTTTCGTCGCAGACGAGATGCGGATATTTCTTGTCATACAATGAAGTTATGTACATGTTTATAATTGCACGCGTTGCGTCTCTTCGTGTCTCTTCGCTTTTAAATCGAGATTGAGCAAGTAGCGACAGCTGGCGGAGCTTTCGCGAAATAACTAACGTTCACACTATTATCCTTATGTATCTTAGGCTGACTCCACACTGGGTAGAACTGTTCGCGAACTGTTCTCCAATAGCAGTATGGACGCGGTATTAGAATAATATACAGGATGGACTAACTAAATCTCCGCTATTTTTTTTTTTTTTTTTTTTGTACGAAAAATAACGGAGATCCCATTTAGCTGATCCATCCTGTATAGACAAAACAAAACGGTGTGAAAACTGCTATATGACATACCTACAGTTTATCTCTTAAAACTTTTTAATTCTTGAAATTGAAAAATTGAGAAATTTGCACGTGATTGTATATATTATACGACAAAATAATTTGAAATAAAAATATGAAATTGAAAATTTAACTCACCAGGCACGACGACACGACGATTCATGGATTTGCAGGAGAAAAAGCGTCGGTTAACTGGCACTTTGTACCTCGAGATTCTGCTTCTTGCCAGAGATTGCGGCGATTTCTAAAAATCGATATGCGAACCGCACACTAACGGGGCAAGATATTTCAGGTAACAAAAGCAATTCAGACTATTCCCCGTGGCAAATGAGGCGCCTCCTGATTAACACACATTGGCTCAATTACACGGGCTAGCCGGGGGAACACGAAATTGCTTGCTATTAACGGAAGTGCGAGGGTGGATAGATACATGAGATATATCGAGCGAATTACACGACGATACTTCGAAAGCCAATGGGACGCGCGCGGAAAAAGTTCCGCGAATTAGCGCCTTTTCGCGGTGTGGGCCGCGTAACACGAGCGCACAACGAATGTGAACGAATTGTGAACCGAATAGATGATTATATCCCGCAATTTCATTAAATAAAACGAAATCGGATTAGATAATTGCAAAAGAAACGCAGTGCGAGCGAGAAACTTTGAGAAAATCGCGCTATTTTATAATTATAATCGAACGAGGAGCCTCGCGCTGTGCACTGTTTCAATTACGCGACGTTACTGTTTCAAAGAGTTTCAAATATAAAATACGCGACGTGATTGGTCGGAGGATAATGGATGCGGTACAAAATAATTTTTAAACTATGATACGTATAAAAACCAAATTAATAAAAGACAACTGGAGAGTGTTAAAAAATTCAGATTGATTTTTAAATTATGCACATTTGAAAAGTAATCAAATATTTGTTCATTAAATAATTTGTATTTTATATATACTTATATTTGATTGACGAGATGTACGTTGAAATGTGATTGGTTATCGATTTTTTTTGAAGTAATTAGCGCCAATTATGAATATAATAAAATAACAAGATTTAAATTATTACGCAAATTGCAAGTAAATTTCATTTCGAATTGTTTTTTGTGTTAGTAGAAACGTAATAAGTTTTCAAATATAATAATTTTCGAACATCTGACGCAACTATTTTGCGATTATGTTCCATTGCGTCGTTTAATTTTCGTCTCGTAATATTTTATCGAAACTCATTGCGTCGTTAATACATTGTTCAGTGTAATATGATATCGAGAGTTAAAAAGAACGTCACAAACTAGCAAACTCGAGAAATGCTTTCATTACGATTTAAAATGACAGTAATTAAAATGAAACTAGCCACTTCGAGTTTGAAAATTTTCAACGACTCGAAAGTTTTCAACATTTTCATTCGTTACACCGTTCACGAAAGTTTCTCGAATAAATCAATGAGAATCTACAATTTACGCGTGTATTCGCGCATATTTCACAAAATTCAGAGCTATAGATATTACTACGAATTTTCACGACTCGACATGGATAGATTCTCAATAATTGTTTTAACAATGGAAAGTAGGGGACAATTTCAATCAAATGTAAGTATTACTCATTTATAATTTTTTACGAAGACATTTTAAAAAAAATTTTATCTATACATACATTGTGAGTCATGTGGAAACATTTTGATATTTCAATAGCACTGTAATGAAACACAAGTGTCATGATTATATTTTTATTTAAAGCAGGATACAAGTTTTACATTTATTTAATATCACATAATAAAGCCACACCACGTAGAATCCAAAATTCTGGTGGTCTAATTGTTTGCAACCAAAGCGGTGTTATAAATAATACATACGTTCTTTGCGGTTTCTTGTACACTGGGCACTGTGAATAGCATGAGAGTATTAATAAATTTGAAGTTCTTAATACATTATATATTTACCTGATATAATTTTGGGTCTTTATCAGGGACATTATATAGAGCAAAAATGTGAATAACTGGCATTAATACATATAAAACTTTATTTGCAGATTCACATAATCTGTTATTCCTTCTATCCCATCCAGCCCCTTCAAGAAATAGTCCATATACATAAACACCCTCCTAATAGAGAAGATATTATTTTTATTATTTATTGATGTATTTATTGATATGCACAGATGAGATAATTAACATACTTGAGGTTCAGTTTTAATTTCTTCTGCTGTATAACGTAAGACTTCATTGTGTAAAGTCACATTATCCAAAGCCCAACCTTTGTGAGCCCTTGTTACTTCTTGCCTCATTGCAGTTAAAAATCCTATATAATTAAAGGTTATTTTGCACTAAACATAGTCTATATTATAGAAATAACAAAGTCTATCTGTAAATTTTTATAATACCTTGAGGATTAAAAAATCCAGTCATCCAAAATTTGGCTGGTCTACCAGTGTGTAACCAAGTAGAAAATTGTTTGTTTCTGTCTAACAGTTCAGTATACCAAAAACCAAGAGAAGATGATTCCCATGATTTTGCTCTCCATGATTTTGGTACTCTAGCATCGTATATATTATCAAGAGCATCCCTCAATTCCTAAATATTATTTGCATTATATGAATTTATACTATTTAATGTAAAATTAGAATAAAGAAATTACCTCACACATTATAATAACACCTTCTATAGCAAGTAAAAGATCCTTTAAAGTAGCATCCACTAATGTAATAATTACTTGTATTCGATCAATTTCTTGTTTCAAGAAAATAGTCATTGGTGCAGTGGCGCCTAATACGTGCAATCTGCAGAATAGCAGTTCTCAATCAACAGAAACAATTGTTTAGAAATACTGTTTTGTGTACCTTTCTTTTACTTCAAATGGGTCATAACTTGGTGGCAATTTTTTTAACATTTCCTTTGCTTGCCTAGCTACAATTACTTCTCTAGATTCACCAACACCCACACCTGCCTCTTTTGGTTGTACAGATATTATAGTATCTAAAACAGCCTGTGTAGTGTTACTCTGATATCTATAGAATTATAAATTCCTTGTGAATTCTTTTCAATGTTATTACAGACGGAACGTTGTAAGAAAATATTCTTACGTAATATTTGCATTAGGATGCAAACCATAAACTTGTGGTGGATCTATAGGATTCATTTCATCAATTACTTTTAGATACTCTGTAACTTGCTTATAAACTAGAACTGGATATCCTTTATAGAATACAAAATCTTCTGAAAAGATTGCATCTGAAAACCATAGTTTAGCAAATGTGTTTAGCAATCTTTTGTCATAATCATCCGTAACACGTCCTCCGTATTGTACCTCTCCTATCATGTATCTAAAAGTATGTTTTTATCAAATTTATTTAGTTGATTAATAAAAGCTGATTTATTGTATTACCTTATTGTATGCCAGTTTATTCCTTGTTTTATATCAAAATCATTCAAATGATTATTAATGAACATGCAAGATGCCAGCCAATCTGATAAATTAAATTCATATGGTATATTCCAACCAAGTGGTCCAAATTTTCTTCTTTCTTGCACTATAGTATGTAAAAACGATACTGTGTATATAATTGGTATATATTGTATAGCATCACATTGATCTAGCATTTCTTGATGCATTCCACTATATGTGGCAAGCAAGCCTGCTCTTATTCCTAATATGGATAGGAAAAAATGTAGAAATAATAAATTTTAAAAATTATTCTTAATTTACCTTGTGGAGGTTCATAAGTATATTTTATGGACATTTGCAAAAGAGATATTGGAAAGTCCTTATGTGGTTCTGTAGTAATCCATATACGAAAATTAGGATGGGGATCCTCCATCTCCAGAATAAAATTAACTAATTCTTGCATATATTCCAAACCCAAGTGACAATTTTGACACAGTGCCCAATAACCCTTATAAATTATTTATATAATAATATATATATTTTCATATATTTTCGCTTAAGGTTTGGATAAAAACTAACTTCAGTCTTTGCACTTTGCATTAATTTTCTTGCGTGGACCTCTTGTCCCTGCCCCATTGAGATACTTCTACATATTATCTCCAACTTTTTAGCAAGATGTTCTATACTGTGCGTAGGATCAGAACCCATACTCAGAAAGCAGATCATTGGAGTATCTGGCCTTGATTCATTGAGCATCACATCCAAAAGAGTAATTACAGGCTCTGCATATTTTTCTCCTAATGAAGTTGATATGTATTTTCTTGACTGTGACAGTGTTCTATCTATACACCAAGCTCTAAAAATTCATTACATACATTGTATACAATGTTCTTTAATCAATATATTTCAAACTAAATAATCAGAACAACCTGATTAACAATAAACGCCGAAAAGTATCTAATGCATTATAGCCATTAGGTAATGGTTCTTCTTCTGGAGCAGGTTTATCAAACCATTGCTTCCAAAGCTTTTCAGAAGCTGGAACTTGAGAAGGAATGTACTGAAATTGTCTTAGGGCAGATAGTGCAATTAAATTTAACCAAGTGACATCTGTAATCCATTTGCAAGGTTTTGGTTCAACTGTGTTTAGATCCAAAGCTGCACCACCTTTGATAAAGTACTGGAACTCTTCGTAAGAAATAGCATCGCGTTGTAAATCAATCTTCAACGTCATCAGTAGAATGAACATGTATTTATGAATTTCGTAGAGACCTCTTGCTTTGTATTTGAAGATTTCGTACGTGAGATATTCGATAATGAAATTGATTCTTCGCTGATTAATTGGACTCTTCTCAGATCTAATTTTGAACTTTGGTAATTTTTTGCAAATAAAAATATATTCAAATTAAATCATACATACCTTTCCATAGAAAGATCGAAACGTTCCAAGAATTGAACAAGCGATGTCTGATACATGCAATTGACCAAAGACATGTCGCAAATTAAAAAGTACAATACACTACCACGTGTTGCCACTGGTCGAAATTCTTCTCGAGCTGAATCGATTCTTAATTCCGTGTCTCTCGCTATGTTTAACTTCTCATTTATCTCAGCAGCTGTTTGTTTCGTAATATTTAATACAGACATTAATTCTACATCTTCTATCAAAGGTCCCTGAAAATTAATAAAATATGATACAGTGGAAATTTACAAGTTAAATTAAAATAAGATACATACTTCTACGGTAGTCAATTTGTGTAAAAGATTAGCTTCTAGTTCTTTGATCTTTCTATTATTTGCAGTTACATCTGCTATCAACTGTGTCCTTTCTGTTTCAAGTTCTTTCTTCTCCGTTAAAATAACTCTTCCTAACAATTGATCTTCTAATCCTGTATAACACATAATATATAAAATCAAATCCTATTTTATCAGAAATTACTTGTACCTTTTACAGTAACAGTAAAGTCGATTATAGCGGCACGTGCAAATACTTCCGGAGTATATGACGGATTGGGTAACTTTGTAGTGATGTAAAGTCTAAAATCCTTATGAATATCTACTTCCTTATCACCTAATTTTACCTATAAAAATCATTTATACATATATGATCATTCCTTAAACAATTTGAATACCTTCAAAGAAGTTCCTATTTTTATAAAGTTTTTTTCCAACAAATTATCCAAAACAGGATCCAATTCCTCTCCTACATCTACGATTAGCAATGGGCGGCCCAGAGAAACACAATCTTCCAAATGATTTCTAAAATATTTGTGTGAGAAGAACGTTACCTAAAATCAAACGTCAGAACGCATCAAGATTGTTTTACTAGTTGAATTTAAAAAAAAAAATAAAGAAAAAATATTTCACCTGCAACTGAAATTCTTCCTCTTTGTTCTTGATCCACGTTTTACCTTGTAATTGAGGATCGATTAAAAGAGGATATCTGATTGCATGCGTTACTATAATTCCATTCTGAATGGATAAATCGTCCGTTGGCAGACCTTGCAAACTCCATTCTCCAATCTTTAAAAAACCAGTACTATAATAATTTCGTGAAATTTTGTAATTAATAAATATTTCCTAAATGTTCTACTCACAGTAGCAGTGTCAGTCAAACTAGCCGTAATATTTATTACAAGAGAAACCGGGATCTTTCGAGCATGGATAAAGTCAAACCATTGTCTTTGCAATAAAGACCTGAATTCTTGATTGAAGGGCCCACAATATGATAAGAAACCTATTAGAATTAACACATCGCCAACCAGACGATCTATTTCTGATTTGAAGGCAGCTATTTGCTCCGTCCATCTTATTCTTTCGCCAGAAAGGCCCTCGATCATTGCCGTGGCTGTGTCTGTTTTCGCTTGGCATATTTCTGCTAAATCAACTATTTTCTAACAAGATAAATTTTATTTTAGAGACAGAAAAATTATGAATTAGAATATACAGAGCGCTAGAAAAAGAAAACGGAAAAGTATACATGATAAAAGGATGTTTTTAAGTCTGAATTATCGTCCCCTACGTATATTTTAAATATAAATTACTTGACGTTCTTCCATCACACCATCGAACTCTCTCTGCACCACTTTTAAGTCTTCGTCTTTCGCTTTCAAAAGGCTTTCAGCTTCCATCAGATTTCGATTGGCTTTCTCGTATTTGCTTTCTTGTACAGCCAAATTTGCCTATGAATTTAAATATAGGATAGATTTCATTTTCTTAAGTGGACGATTCAAGCGAAGAATGAATAAACAGTACTTTCAATGGGAGAACATCTTTGTTTATTCCGTAGAATGTAACCATCGAGATGGTCCACTGGATGAGACCAGCAACGTTTCCGCAAGCTTGCTTTGCAGCTTCGTACGTGTACGAGGGATAATTCAAATATGGTTGCATCAGATCGATAGTTTCGGCATTGATATTATCCTTTGGAAAATTTTGCAAGTGATAAAGAAATCTAACATCAGCCATCATCTATAACAGTTAAAATAACAGGGAACTTTTTGTGTATTAAATATTGTCTAAAACATTAATTTTCCGATATTATTAAATAGAATTACTTTTAAGGCTTCAGACCACGAAGGAGTTAAAAATTGTCGTTCGTAGTCAGGCTTAACTGGATCCAATTTTCTTCCAAACAGTATCAACACGCAGTCCATGATGAGAGTAATCAAATATGGTGGTTTGCCTAATTTTCTTACTGTCGCAATATCAGCGGCTTTTATAGTCTGAAATGGAAGAAACAGAATCGTCAAAAATCAAACATTTGAAATTTATAATTATATATCTTCAATTTGTAAATATAAATCAACTTGTAAGGCAGCTTCTGCTTCCAGTAAAGCAGGCTCTGCAGCTTTCAATTTTTGTTCTGCTACAGATTTTTCTTTCGCGATCACTTTCAAAATGGCTTCCGCCTCGTCCTTAGAAACTTGCACCTGTGCTTTCACCATCTCCGCCTCTTTCTTCTTTTCATTCACAGTGACTAAAATCTACGAAATAATGATATCAAAGGTAAAAACAATGCAATAATGAAACCTTTATTATTTTGTTATTCATAAAAATATACGAACAGCCTCGACTTGCACGTTCTTCTCCGCGATTTCCTGTTGATTCTTCTCCAAAACTTTACGCAATTCGTCGACTTGAGCTGCAGCATCGACTAACTTACTCAAACCGCTGCTCATACGATACGACAGCATATTGATATTGTCCAAACGTTCTTTGTAAAGTAGTTTATATCCGCTAAGGAAAGTTAAGAACGATTTTGGTGTCACGTACACCTCTCTGCGGAATCTGCTCAGGAAGAAAGGTCATATCATCCGACATCTGGATTTATACGACAATTAATTGCAGTCAATTAGTATAACACTACCTATCGAAATATTGTACGCAAACGTCATTCACATTATTATGCACGTCTCCCATAACTTCTATTAGCTGTTGTTTTATCTCTACGGGGCATATTATTTTATATTTCTTTATGAAGTGATCACTGACTTCGTATAAAGCATCTATTGGCCATCGCCAGAACCAATTTATCGTACAACCAGATATAAGACCAGGGAATTTCAATGCTCGGGATCTAAACTTCTCGCTAACCTGTAATTCACAAGTAAATGCATGAGCATGTGATGATGTTTGAGAGAAATTTCAATTTTAAAAGTGTATTACACGATTATGTATCTTTTCTATCTGATATAAAAAAAGAAAAAATAATACAGGCAATTTTAAGGATAAAGAGATCATAACTCTTCGAACCCAAAAAGGTTACTCACTGGTGAAAAACATAAGACCATATGCAACTGATCCTTCGCGCGTGTCAAGAAATAATCGTAAAGATTATCCGGAGTTGGTGGTCGCTTTGGGTCGTCCTTTTTCATCATAGGCGTCACTGTCGTTAAAATTTCATCAAGTTCATCTGCTGGAAACAGATTCGCTATTTCTCCAACGCTCAATATGTTATTTATGTACTCCAGGAAAGCTTCCTCTTTTATCTCGTTGTCGGTAAATATGAATGTCTGCCCCTTGCTTCCCACACCAGCTGTATGATACACTTTTCGTAGATCTTCCAGTAAACTTCCAACGCTGTAAGTCCTAGACAAAAACGATGAAGATATTGTGATTGTTATCATATACTTTTGCTCTTCCAATTAATATTAATAAATTAACGAATTATAAGTTGCAAATTACACGTGCCATAATATAACACGTCTATATAAATTTTAATCATATTTCACCTGTTTTTTTTTTTGTCAAGTCAAAAACTCTTCGGTGTGAATTACCTGGTTAATGTAATTTGATAAAAGCTAAAACCAGCGATGAAAGAGGCTAGTCGAGTCAGACTCTGTTTGCCTGATCCTCCAACTCCTACCAGCATCGCGTTGCCTCGAGGAACACCCAGGATTCTCGATATTCGAATCAAATGCACCAGAGCATCGTGGAAGAATACTAAATCCATGCGCATTCCTCGAACGTATTCGTTGAATTGATCCATATTTTGTCGGACCTTTGCAATCACAATCTCGTAACTGTAAAAACGAAATGATGATAGTTTTGATGATAGTGTTAAATAGACGATTAATTAAAGCAATCGCAGTAAGTTGAAATTAACGAATCAAGTTTTTCAAGTAAATTTGTACCTCGGCATCTCCTCGTAAATCTTTGGCGCTTCAAAGACGAAATCTTCCGGTTCATCTCCAGTAGGTTCCGGCGGTTCACGCAGAAAATTCACGAAATATGTTTCGACTGGTATGTAGAAACTAAAATCAGAACCTAACATTTTCTCCGCTGTTTTTCGTAATGTGCTTTTGAACCACTGTGTGTCTTCATTGTTTGTAAATCTAACAACAGTAGAAAATGTAATTATTTATTACTTTATTAAAAAAGAGGATTTTTTTTATATTGTACAACAACCAACCGATCTGCAATTACGCGAGTACATTCGTGTTCCCAGAGCTTTAATAGCCTGCTTCTGGAATCACATTCAGCACTTTCTATTCTGAGGATGCCTTCCCATATTCGAGACAAATCTCTTAAATTAAAGACATAGTGAAACTTTGCTGGCGTTGGCAACATTTTACTCTTAGTCTGCTGCCACAGGACTCTCGTTAAAGGTATTAATTTTGGCAAAAAGTTTACAATACTCTCGTCGAATCTGGTGCTACAAAAGTATCCTTGCCCGATGCTTCCTAAACATTTTTTGGAAACATGTATTAACTTGTTAATTAGCTGTGAAGGTAATTCGTTCAAATTAAATATGTATAGCATAAACGTAACATCACCATTGTCATTATTGCGTTTATATACAATCGAGTATTATCGGGTCATTAGAAGAAAAGAAAATAACGATATACATGAAAAACAGAAACCCATCATTGAAAGCTGTTTTAACATCTAATTAAAATATCTCATAACATGTCGATTTCGCAAATTATTATATGCTCTTACTGAATATCGTGTCCATGGATTTGTTGGATGGTAATGTACAATTAAAAATATTGAATTGTCTCTTGAGCCGCGGTGGAATATCGTTTCTACCCCCACCAGGATGAATCATGGCTGCAAGCAACTGAATATCCTGTATAGTACAGAAATCGCCGGGCTTGTCCAGGGAATAAAAGCCTTTATATTCCATCAGTTGGCGAACGATCTCGTTTGTAATTTGATCACCCCATTCATTTATAGCCGGCATATTTATGTCGTCGATGAAAATGGTCATTTTTCGGCCACCTGGGGGTCCGTAAGTGGTACCCACTCTTTTCTCCACGTAGCTTTCAAATATTCGCTGCGAATCGTATTCCGTTGCATGACAGCTTATCGTTGATACTAATTTTCCAATTTTCTGTTAATTACCTGAACCATATTGGGTGTAGATGCGGAAGAAAAACTGCAAGATTTACAGAGATGTTCTTCTGGATCATAGTGGGACATGTAGCTTTTGACCATAACTGTCTTTGCAGTTCCTTGCTCTCCTGCAAGTTATTTAATAATGTTAATAGATAAGATAGATAATGTTAATAAACTTAAACAGACGTTCGTTTTGTTTTTTTACAATTTGATTTTGATTGTTTTATATACTTTTTTTAGCAAGTGCAATTCATACCTATTAGTAATACTGCTTTCCCCTGTTTCGCAATGACATCGATCAAGAATAAAGTTCTTGTATTGTCTATATTAGGGACTAGAATAGTGTAATATTTTAAGACTTCGTCCGGCGGATAGATGAATTCTGGGACCTTTTCAGACCAATGCATCCATTGGCCATCGTCTGACACTAGGTATTCAAATATGGTTTCATCTTCCTACAACGACCATTATTTCACAGTATAATTATCTTTGCTTTCATATCAAACGATTCCATGCGTATGTGGTATTACCTTGCATTTTGGCCAATTACATTTCGATTGGTGATTAAGTAAGAACTCCTGTAATAAGTTACGTTCATCTAATTCCAATACCGCTCCCAAGCTCCACATTAGCGAGAAAAGAAATATCTTTTCGATGTGATATTCCGGCAGTATTCCTAAATCACGCAAATTTCAATTAAATTTCTTTTTCATACATTTGTGTGAATTTCCAGTCAATATTTCAATTACATAGATTCTTCAAATATTATTATTCCAAGTACTTTCATTATTATAACTTAAGTAAGAGGGACATTGTGTGAAAACATACGTACTAGTCGTATCTTTATTTGTACCAAGCAAACCATCCAACAAATCGATACACTGCCTTATGTAAAGAGCTTCCAAGAGTTGCATCTTTACCGGAAGTTTCGTTTGAACAAAGGTATGGGCGTCGTCGTAAATTTTTTTGAAAAAATTATTCAGCACTTCTACTTGTGCTGGCGGTTGTGTTTTAAACCATGCCTTTTAAAAACCAAGTAAAAATATATTTAAAAATAGAAAAAGATATTCAAGAGTCCTAGGTACAAGGATGAAAGATAATAAAAAATGTTAACATTACTTGTAGAATGGGAGTCCATTTTAGTACAGAAGCACTCATGAACACCATTCCCATACGAGATACCGTAGCTGGCGATGCATTATCAACATTGTCCGGTTCAAAGACCAATTTAGTATTGGATGCCATAATTATACGATCGCCATTCGCTAAAGTTAGCGTCTTATTATCGTCCAGCACGGAGTTTAAGTTCTCGATCCACACAGCATCCACAGGACCGTCCAGGACCATCCATAAATTTTCTGTTTTCTTCGTTTGCGTCGATCTTCTCCATATAATGGAGAAAATTCCATCTGTCCAATCATTCGTCGCTACGTCTAGTCTACCAAACATCTGGGACGCGGTTATGGCCTAAGAACATTGTTACAAATTGCTTATTAAACTTACTATTTTTGTAGGATGTTTCATATGAATAAAAACATTTATCATAAATATGTAATCTATGCTTTTGCATATATGAAACTTATTAAAAATCTTGCTTTGACATTAATAAAAACACTTATTATACATAGTGTAAATTAGTAACTAAAATAAAGAACGATGCTGACTTTGGGATTCATTCTAACTTCTTTATGAGGTATGCCCATTTCTGTTAGAGCTTTCATAAGAGCCCACATGCACATAGTTTTTCCGGATCCTGTCGGTCCAAGCATCATCAAGCCGTGGCGAACCAAAGAGGTTTCGTACAACTAGAAATTACGCGATTGTCTATTATATTGTATTATCATCTCAAATCATCATCATTCGTCATTGAATTATTAAATTTACTTGAACTGCCTTCAAGTTCCATTCTGGATGGTTCATTATACCAAGAGCAACAGTTGCATTTGCAAGTGCTTTTTGCAGATCTTTGTATATTTGAACTCTGAGCTTGATGCCTGGGAACATGTCTTCGATGAGAGACATAAACAAGGGTTCATCTTCGTCTACTAATTTCGACAAATTCATGTCCCTGTAATATCAGAATATAATTTGATTAATTTTATTGAAAAAATCTGTAGTTGGAGGATTTGTTTTACCTTAAAACTCTCATTAAAGTAGTTTCTTCAGAATCAGTGGGATTCGCTCGTTTCTGTGCACCGAGAGTTCGCAAGCAAGACAATATGTTTCTCAAACCGAAATCATAATGTACCTGCTTGCTTAATTGTTCCTCACATAATTTATACAACGTGAAAAACTTTCGTGCCAATAGAACGTTCTCTTTAAAACCACAAGCTGCCAATTTTACACGCATAATTATCTAAACGAACGTGCAATTATCAATGTAACAATAAACTTGTGTTTTATCATTATTCTAGATATTATGTTTAATACTTGTCTATCAGGAACCATCATAGAGACGCTTCTGAATTGTATCTTTAAATTTTCCGGTAATTCTTGACGACCAGCGTAGCCAGGATTCATAGTAATGAAAATCCCAAGCTCGTAGTTTAAATGGTATATTTCACCATCACTGTGTGGTCATATATGTTCTCTTATTGTCAATACGTTAAATGTAATACCAATAATTATTATTAGATAATAACAATTAAAAATATTTTCAGATAATGAGAAAAGAGTCTTTTAGGAAATATTTACAGGAAATATATACAGGAAAATTGATTTTTAGAATAGTCCTTAAGATCGTACGATCTGATTGATGCTCTAATGAATATACCTAAAAAGAAAATTTGCTTTTCTTTCCTTTCTTGCTGTAAGTACAATCGCTATTTGCTGAGCAGCGACGGACAGAACTGGCAAATCGATACGATTAAACTCGTCGAAGCAGCCCCAGGTTCCGGACATGGCTAATCCTTTAAATATTCTGCCTAGACCGCGGAAATCCATTTGGTCGGAGCAATTAAATACCACCACGTATTTTCCAAGGGCTTTCCCCATATCCTTCGTGGTTTCTGTTTTGCCAGTGCCGGCCGGCCCTGCTGGTGCACCTCCAAAGTTCATACCTGAGAATACACATCGAATTCAATAAAATAATGGTTAAAATTATCGTACAGAACATATAAATACGTTTATACAGAAGAGATATTTTTCTTTTTGCTTTAAACATAAAGATATTGGTTTCAAATTCGTGTTTTCTTTTTTTTTTATAAAAGCAACTAAGGAGAAAAACAAATGCACAGTGAAGATAATCTTACCCACGGCTTGAGCTAATGTTATGTAGCATCTATCAGTGAGGGGAGTAATGGCAAGTCGATCGGTGCAACCTAGAAACTCGTTCTGATAGACGAAATCTATATCCGTTACTTGTATAGGGACGTCTTCTGTTTCAGCGTCGTAATAATATCTGCATTGCTTCAACCACTCGAAATCACCGACATTGCGAATTCTCATACGACACAGATCGTCGAATATATCTCTAAGAAAAATTCGCAAAAATTAATATTTATTGCTAAATAAAATTTTCATAAAATAAAATGATAATGTAACATTTTCCAACGTAAGAGATGATACAAAATAGAGACAAAGATTAAAACAGATATCATAAAGTTAGTTCTTGATTTTTCCATAACATGGAACATGATACACATACGGTATATACCTTTGATGCACGTGAATAGTAATCAATGCCTCGTACTTCGCCCTCGCGTACTTTGATAAGTCTTTAACGGTTACTTCAATGAGACTGTTCAATAAATCGAGAAACCATTGATTTGTTCGCTTCATTATGTTTCTGTCTCGTCTTACTGTATTGAGAGCTACTTCAGAGTCGTGAGTCCATAAAACTTGCAAGGCTAATAATCCTACCTGTTACGTTATATTGTAACTTATAATCGAAAACACACGACAATTTCTTCTGTGTTTTATATTTTATCAAATTTACTATTTATCAATCTAACTATCAAATTATCAAATTTACTATTTGTCAATCGAACTCTTAAAGACTAATGAGGGTGAATGTGAAATTTCATCCCACATATTCCATTTCATTCCAGTGTAATAACTAACAAATAATAATCCTTCTACTCTTCATTTAATATCGAATAAAACAGTTCTATTCGTTCAATTTTATTAACTTTTTTAATTTAAAAAAAGTGCGATCAAAAGATCAGAATTGTTAAAACTATTACTTGTAAAATTGAATTGTCGATCAACTGTATAATATCAAAGTCTTCGTTAGGAAGAGTCTGCAACCCTTGGGAGATTGCACTGCCAACAGAGAATTGATGAACCGTTAACAAAGTGTTCAACCAATTCTCCACAAGCCCTGTACATATAACATCCTTCTCTGTTAGCACTTTCTCGTTTTCGCGCGAATACATGGCTACGATCCTTTCATACTCTTTCTCGTGAAACTCTAACTGCAATCAAGAAAAATCTAAATTGTGCACGAATCTAATAGTAAAAAGAAGAAGATATTTAGATAAATTATTACTTTTCCTATATTGTCGAAGAAACCGTCGAGATACTTCTGTATGGTGTGACAATCTGCTGCTTGGCCAAGTATTTCCAGCAACGTGGGGTCTGATATGAAGCAAAATCTTGGAAATATGCTTCGTTTCGTTTCCAAATATCTGCACAGGTAAGTATGATTTTGCTTCAATTAATTTCAAACACGTTACTTCTACGTTCTTTCTATCGTTTACGATGAAATTTATTTCTCTGGCGCTAGAAAACTTTTTAAATTTAAGAAAAATATAAGAAAATCGAAATTGTTATGCTAAAGATTTCTTTACGATATTAAGTATCGTATTTTTCAACTGAGAGTGAAACGAAATTGGAACATATAAAATTTCAGAAAAGCAGCAGCGTTAACGACAGTATTAAAGGAATGAATTTTAATACCCGCTGAGAGATTTCTGACAAGATTCCAACTGTTCCAACAAATGTGGCAAAAATTGTGTCATTGTTTCATCTCCAGTGCAAGTTTCCACTGCGTTCACCCTCTCACGTGCTCGATACATTATCTTCATCCACGCTTTGTCGATATTCTGTAATGTTTAACATACTACCGGACTATCGGAATTTGACTCTTAAAAACTAACACAGATTAAATTTTACCCCATGTGAAATTTTGTTTTAACATTATCGTTCCAATTTGCCTTCGATATGTATCAATACGAAAAAAAAAAAAAGGATCTATCGAGATGAAAGTTTGCTTATAACAACATAAAGATAACTTTTTTTTTTTACAGCTTTTAGAGATTAATTATTTACATTGAAACGTTTTGCCTCCGCTGGAAGTTGTTTCGATATATCTCCGCCAATGAATACAGCTTCTAAATAAGCCCATAGATTCTGAACATTGAGCCATTTTGCCAAGATCTCAGAGGTATTGCTGAGTTTATTTTGCCACAGTTGTATATCCTTTTTGAAAGGCGCGTTATATCTAAATTATATTATCCAAGTGATAACAGTGTTGTTCATTCAATGTTAAATATTCCTTCATATGAATTAAATACCGATTTGCCAGCAGTGAACTAATGATCATCAAACTATCCTCGAGCTGAGATATTATCTCCAACGTTTCCACGCCTTTTAAGAGCAATTCTCCTCTCTGCTTGAACGTGGAGAATTGTAAATCCACGATGGCCCATTCTGCTATGATCTGTTTTAGTTTGCTCTCTATTTCTTGCTCCTTCACTGCGCTTATGCATATATCCTGCGAAAATATGGAAATATTAAAATATCAAAACATATTATATTAAATACTAAATATTTATACAAAATACATTAAATATTAATTATTATCGTATCGTCTTACTGAGTCATTCTATAAATAATTCTTTCATATACATACGGTATATATCGACATTTAATACGTTTATAAAATAAAAATTAAATTAATCAGTGAACGATATTGCGTGTTGAAACCATACCTCGACTTCGTCTTTGTACTTCAATAAAGGTGCCTGCATCACGTTGGCCAATGTAAATGCCTCCGACTCAACATCAAAGTAGTATTTGCACAATTTCGACATTCTTTCCCAATGTCTCTCTTGCATCGCTTTATTAGCCATCATCTCTAACAATGGGCAAGTTTCGTTAAAGTCGTCGATTTTCTTTTTCAAGTCGATGTAGGCTGGCCACTCTCTCATAACCTTTGGTAGTCTTCGACATCTGACATAGAATTGTAAAATTACGTTACACGTTGTGCTTACAACGCAAATCTGCAATTTATAGTCACAACTATACACAACTATGTCACAATTAAATTAATAAAATTTGAAACAAATCCGAGAATTTGTGTAAAAGTTAAATGATACTTGTAGAACAAACATATATGGAGTAAAAGAAAATTAGTAAATAACCATTTTGAGCATAAAATGTATTGACCTATTCTGAAATTCGGCTAGTTCAGTCATTATGGATTCGATATCGATCTCTGCCCAAGGTATCTCGTAGTAGCTGTCGATCGTTCGTATAACTTGCAAATACAAGGAGTATAACTTCTGTAGTAAATTAATTTCCCTCTTTCTTTGATGAAGAGCCGGGTAGTCTGTTATTTCAATGCCGAATAAACTTTCCCCGCTGCTGTAAGTCTGGTACTTCTCCCATAACTCGTCAAGACGGGCATGAAAGAATATCAGCCTAAGAAAATTAATTGCGAATAATAGATCAATTATAAACTAAAATAATGTTTATTTTTCTATTTACTTAACGTTGGAACTACCAGTGTTATAATATCCTAAATACGAATTAACAATAAGTTAGCTAGTTAATCAGAATTAAGATCTTACATTTTACAATATCAGTGTTTTGAGAAAATATAGTGTTGCAAAATAATGTATTATTCGTAAATGATACCGATCACTAGCTTCTTTAGCCGGTATTCCTTCAACCATAGGACCGTTCAGCTCAAAGTCAAAATCAAAATTGATCACATCTTGCTTAAATATCGCAACACCATCCGTCAATTCCTTTTTCAATGGCTCTTGCATTTCGCATATTTTTGCTTGTACTTGTTTCGCCTTGTAGCATCGAACAATTCATTGGCAAATGCACATATCAACATGTAATAATTATAATTTTTCAGACATAATTACCGTGTTCAACATGTTTGTGAAATTGTATCGTAAACCGTCCACGATATCCTGTTCCTCCTTCGAGACAAGAATATTAAACTTTCCCATTAATGTGTACGTTTCCTCGATCAAGATCAACTCTATATCCAACGATATGAAATCGTCTCGTATCTCGCTTAAACACTTCATCGCGATCCTTACGTCTTCCAGGTCCTTTATTTTCCTGGCTAAAACCTTGTTCTTCTCGTTTATGTATTCGATGATTCTTTTTAATTTCTCCTTGTAAGTTGCAGACAACTTCTGCCCCAGTGATATCTTCCATACACGTGCCTCAACCAGAAATGCTAACTTCAATTTGTCTAGACATTTACATTACAGTTACAGTTTCATTGAAAATTTATTGTCATTTTATTTTATAGTTTATAGTAATGTCTATGTAAATTCAAAAAAAAATTATATATATATATTAAATCATTACCCATGCTAATTTCTATAGGACCGACTACGTGTTTGTTTGGCAGATGTTGAATCTCATCGACTAAACTGTCGTATTCCATGAACTTCTCTTTGATCTCTTGAGTGATAGGCTCGGAATCGACGAAACTTTGAATGATATTATCTTTGTCTTCGGACCATATGTAAGAATATTGCAAGTAAATCTACTTGAAAAGTACAAACTGCATATATCATCCGTTGGAATTACACGTGTATGTGTGTACAAGCATCTCTCAAACAACATCGTTCATTGGTTCCATTATATTTAAAATCAAGTATTATACTTTCAGGCGTACAGTGAATTTTGACGATTATTGTACATATTAATACATTTTAAATTATTACACGTTTATATATTTTAGATTATTACACTCATGACGTTGTTCGAGAATTGTTTGTACATATATTCAAAATTGGGAAAAGAAAGGGTGAAAGTACATTGGCAATTTCATCGATGTCTTGCTTTACGGCAAAAATTGCACCTTGCAGGCTCATTATGCTACGTACTATCTCTTTGTGATCCGATATTATGTGATAATAATTCTTCCGAGGAATTGCATTATTTTCTGTATTATTGAGAAAATCATTAATGTGTATTGTATACGATTATAAAAATTGAAGAGTTTGTAGCAATAGTGAAATCAACTTTGTTGCTACTATGCACGGTTCATAACGTTTCCGATTTGCTATTTTTCGTTTCTACTACTGCAAGAAACGAACCTTGTGTATTTGATACGACATTTTCAGATTTCAGATTATAATAACGTTGTCCCCATGCTGTGACTTGTTTGTAAATTTCCAGAACGCTACTCACTAATTTTCCAAAACAATACTGTAATTCCTCTATAGGGGGTACTATCACGATATTTGGTATTTGCAAGACGAACGTCGTCAAAAGTATCGGTTTCATCCTCAATTCGTCATTATCGTGTATCAGATGACTATATAGTCATGCAAAAAGTCATTTTTTTTTTTTTTTTTAGTAACGTTACTTCATAGAGAAATTAAAATTGAACGAACCTCATATTAGTGACTTTTTTCTTTAATAACTCGAGCGAGTTTTTGGTGCACTTTACTAAGGCTTCTACGAGTTTATTATGGAAATAAGCGAATAACTCCATGCAATCATTGTGCACCCGATTTATTTGAACTTTACGTGTTCTCTCGATAGGGGCAAAACCTACAATTAGTTAATAAATACAAATTATTGTATTCGTAAATCATACAAGATCCGTTTAACCTGTCTATAACGTTAGGTTCGTTACATACTAATTTAAAATTCCACTGACTAACTAACTAACTAACTAATTAACAGTAAAATATCAACACCTGGTTCATATTTTCCCTTTGTCAATTTCGTCTGTGAGATATGCTTGTGTATTTTATCCGGATCCATCCAATTGTATTTAATATCCTGAACAGTCTCGTCGATTATGAAGTCCATAAACTTATTAATAATAGCAGTAACTGCTTTCTCCGCTGCTGACGATTTAATTTCCAAATCGACTGCTATTGTAAGTCCGTATGCCATATTATCGTCTAAAAGTTGAGCAGGAGTCTTTGCATAATCATCGAGTTTCACTAGAATAACTTCTGATATGGATTCGAAAACTTCGTCGACTCTTGCTTCTTTCATGTCTCTTATATCTTTGACAAAAATCTGCACCGACGCAAGTGCATTCTTTATCTCCTTACACACTTCGTCAATGTTTAAAGACGTCCATGTGATTACTGATAAACAAGGTTGAAAGGCGATCTCGAGATTAACAAGAACAATTTTTATCAAAATCAAAAATAATATCGGTATCGTTCGTCTAAAATCGTAGAATAAAAATCTGAGGTATAAAAATTTCTTATTTCTTCAAAAAAAAAAAAAATAGATACGAAGGATGTACCTCAGTGTATTATTTTCGTCGACCAATTGCTTTACAATTTCATACGATGAGAAAATTCTCTCTTTACAAAATGTTATTATTTGTATAAAATCTGACACTTCCAAGTCAAACCTAGCCATATGTTCTGATTCACGTATCACCTCGATAATGTACGAATCGAAGTTCAGATGATACTTGTTCGTATCTGGGTGTCTTATTATCAATGGTGAGGCTAACGCCAATCGAACCTATCAAATAATATATGTTCATATTTTATGCATAAAAATTCACAATCTGCTCGTCTTGTACGACGACTGTACTTACAATTTCTGAACAATCGTACCATGCTTTATGATATATCATTTCATAATGTATAAAAACAGTGATCAAGGCATTGTAAATTCTAATGCATCTCTGCATATGATCGTGAGTAATCACTCTTTTGCACTTTTTGTATATTTCCATCGGAGTTTCGATACGCCTGAAAAGTTGTCGGATCCATAAAATACGGCCAGCAATAGGTGGAACATTTCGCGGTATCGGAGGATCCGATCTGTCTTCGTTGTATCTATCTCGTACATCCTCAATTTCTTTTTGAAACAGTGTAATGAGTTCTAAGTACTTCCTGTCGATTCTCAGATGTTTGAACTTCAATTTTTGAAATCTGTATAAATCAATTGGCAAAATTTTTGAATATTTTGCACGTGTAACACGTTACAAAAGAGTTGGTGAAGATGTTCAATTTTTCTATTATACATTAAATACCTTGCTACTATCCTCAATGCTTCTGTTATATTTGGCGCGTCCGAGACGCATTTATAAAAGAAGTTTCTTAATTCTATTTCTGTCTCTGCCACATTTTTCTTATAATTATCGTAATCAAAATCAAAATATGGTTTCCTATGATTTAATGGATCATAGTCTTTGGATGAAATATCCTGAAAGAAACTGAAGAATTTGTTCGCAAATACGTCTATTCCCTCTATTGCGGAATTGTAAAGAATTAGATATGTTAACATTGTTTGTAAAACATCCATAATCTGGAATGTATTTATAAGTTATTTTTAATGATTTCCTCTTTTTCAAAGGTAAGAATGATTTAATAAAACAGTTTATCACTGACTTTTATTATTCTCGCTTTGAAAGTATTAGACTTCCCGAAAACGTACATTTCAGATACCTCAAAAGGTTTTTCATCGGCAGATTCTCTTACATTTCTGCACATTGCGATATAATATTCGTGATATTGTTCGCATAATTTAATGCAATCCTAAGTAAAGAAAATTCCATAATAAATCGGATTTATTTAGAATTTTGTTTAATTAATATTTGCCTTTATTTTGGATATCATAACTGATTTTGCTTCGTTCCAAATATTTATCTTACCATCCTCCGTTAAATATGCTTTGCATGCTAAAATCATTTGATTCGTCATCTGAAAAATTGATAATCAGATTATTGATATTGTAGAATATATAAATGCGAGGTAAACCTCTTAATTTTTATCATGTTTTGAGGGTAATACTTTTACAAACACCGCTGTGACCATTCGTCTGGTATTAAAAAATCGGGAAGTGGCGTATATCATTCGTATAACGTACATGAGGGGAGGCAAATATTCTCCTATTTTTGTTGGATCAAGCCTGTACAAAGGTTGAGTAAATTTTTCTAGCGCATATAAATATTTTACATTATCTTGTGCGAGAATTTGGATCATTTTAACGTGACGTTCCAGCAACCTCCATTTCTACACGTAAAACCTTGTGAAATTCTTATCAGCTATGAATTAATTTAAATAAAAAAGAGGATATATCTTACAATACACATACTTTCATGCGTTTCGATTTTATTTTTGTTAAGAAATCTATATATTTCTGAGTGACTGGAGATTTAATGTGTTCAATAATTGATGAAAAACGAGCAAGCAATCTTCTCCAATAAGCGAGTTCTGCATTTGGACCCATTTTTTCCGTTTCTCTGCGTAATTGTTGACTCTGAACAACAGCCTGTACGGCCAAATATATATTATTTCTTAATGAATTAAAATAAACAACATTCATAGACTTTACCCGTTCCATACTTTTCTTCCATAGCTTGACATTATTTTCTATGGCTTCTATAGCTTCTGGATTACGAAGACTTTTTTTATTATCCTCGGGTGATGCTAAGTACTTGTTATAAACCTCCCAATCAGTATAAAATCTTATTGTGTTTTCTAAGTCTAGCTTTGTCACTAAAAAAATTATAACAATAATAGCTTCATACACATGTGACTATCTTGATCTTAAATGATTATCTCACTGCTTAAAAATTCACAAAAGTCTCTAAAATCACAAATAAAATTGTTTATGACTTTGTCACCAGCTTCAGATTTTGACAGTTCACCCCATACTTTGTTAACAATTATTGCCGGCAAGTTTAGCCTTAGAATTACATCTGATATGGCTGCAAGTGCGCTTTGAGATACTGGATCAACTTCTGCATATGCATAATATGTTTCCTATTTAAAGTTTCAATATTGTATTGTATGAAATTAATTTCGATAGACATGCTAAAAACATACATCTTGAAGATACTTTGTTTCTAAATCAATGTCTGATTTCAGTCTGTAAACTATAACACATTTGCCAGAAAGTCGTTCTGTAGAACCATCAGTGACACAGCAACGTATTACTTCAGTTTCTTGTTCATATTGCGGGATCCACCTTCCTGACTCTATTTTTCATACGTTCAAGATATCGACTACATTGATTATACGTTCAAAATTCAGAGAAATATACGTAACAAGAGAACAGTTTATGATACCAAACGGAGGTGGTTCCATTGGCTGATAGTGTATAAGAATCGCATGTTTCCCATCTTTAACAAAGAAACTACCAAGAACACTGATATATTCGTCTTTATCAATAACTCCTTCTTCCAAGGTATCAGGGTCTATATTTAAAATGAAGGCAGCAACTTCCAAGACCTGTCTATGTGTTGCCTTGAGTAATCCTTGTCTAGCGTTTCGATTCTCCTTAAATTTCGCCTGTACATATATATGACAGAGTAATAAGATTTAAACGAGACAGTCCACTAAATGATACTTGTACTTCAATTCAATATAATTCTACACTTTACGCACAAGTCGCTCTTTCAAACTTTCGGTGGGTATTTTCTCCAAAGCAACTCTTCTTTTTAACAGCTCGGCGATGCGACGGTCAATCGCAGGCTTTGTGTAGTCCCGAGCTGCAAAATACGCAGTTACGTGCGGCATTATTTTCAAACGTGACAGTAAATCGTCACGCTCGATGCTAAATGAGCATCGAAGAATATGCGAAAATGTCAAATGAAAAAGAAAACACTGTTTTTATTGACTGTATCGAAAGATACTTGCGTGTGTAGAAATTATACAGAATTATGGGTTCAGAGTGAGAATTTTGTTGGTGACGTTGAAAGGCAAGAATATTCTTGAGATCGTTGAAGAATCACAAAACAAATCTCGCAAATACGCAGTTTAAAATCTCGTTCGGCGTGCGTTCAAAACGACTCGCATGCGCAGTGTCAGTCACTGTGCACATGCACAGCTGCAGTACACGTCAAATTAGAAAGGTTAAAGCAGACAGCATAAATAAAATCTGTATTTACAAAGCATAAAATCACGATTTAAAACGGTCAATTGCAAATCATTGAAAGTGGCATTGATCCTTTCTTTATTTAATCGAAATTTCATTGAAGATATGTATTTTTAAAACTGTATTTTTATAATTGAATTTAATGCATGGTCTACTACTGATGCTCGATAAGGTTAATATGTATTTTTCTACACGTTAAGCGATAGCGTACTACAATTTATACTCCGTCTCCGTATTTAAATGAGAAAAAGGAATAAAATATATTTCTCAAAGCGACTGTTGATTCTGTTCACTTTCCTACTTCACTTTCCTCATCAGAATGTTCGATTCAGTTGCTTTAAGAATGAAGATGTTGTCAGTAGATTTACATGTGTATTTTTCAATTTTCTTCGCTATTTATATCCTATTTATATCTCTTTTACACATATTAAATGCACAGGTTAAAGTTAATAATTATCCACATTTTACTTTTGATCTATAAGTTTTACTTTGTCACTTTTCAGATAAACTTTTGCATTCTTAAACACTATAAGTGGTTGAATATTAATTTTTTCTTATTATTATGACTGTTACTTCTTTTACCGATATACTTGGTATGCGTATTCAATGAATTGCTGGAATGAAAAGTAAATTATTCAAGGATTTTACATTCATATGATTTTATCAAACTTACAAGAGTATGTGGAATGTATTGAATTGTAATTCACAATGTTCAAATTGGAATCATATATAACACCAGTAATCCTCAGTTATGTTGAAAAATATGTGAAAAATTTTAAACCAGAACAATCTCAGGTATGTATGTATATATGTATATACATATCTGTGTATATATTATTATGTAATAATAAATCTATATTTCTTTTTGTCATATACATGTATTATATCTGATTTCATATTTTAGGTTTCCTTATGGGGTGGTGATGCATCATTTCAAAATCTTGATCTAAGGCTAGAAGTTTTGGAAGAACAACTGAATCTTCCCTTTGTTTTCGTTAGTGGTCATATACATGAATTACTTATTCATGTTCCTTGGGTAAAAATTACTTCGGAGCCAATTGTAATTACCATTAATACAATAGGTAAATATTAGACAATGTGATTCGCATTTAATTAAAACATATAAAAGTACAATTTTAACCTTTATTTTAGAATGTATTTTAAAATTAAAAGATGATAATAAAGTGGAGACCAATCCTACCTCCTTACAAAGAAGGCAAGAGATATCACAGTAAGCAACTGATTGCTGTTACTAAAATACATATTAAGCAAAGTTTAAGTAAATTTCTACTTATTACTATTTAATTTATATTTATAGGGAAGAAGCTCCTCCTGGGTACATAAAAAGCATAGTAACAAAAGTTGTAAATAACATAACAATTAATTGTAATAATTTAATCCTAAAGTATGTGGAAGAAGATATAGTTCTTAGTGTCAATGTCAGATTTTTAAGCATGCAAACTGTTGATAACAAATGGGAACCAGCATTTACTGGTATGTATCTCATATTATGATCCTTCTAACAATATCTTTTAAGATTGTATGTATAAAATTATATATCTATATATATACTTTTTTAGATGTCAATGCATATGAAGTTATGCTTAGAAAAGTTATTACTATTCAAGATCTAACACTATGTTTAGATAAAATGGATGCATCTGGAAAAATAGAAATATATCAGGTATTAATGTAATATTTTTTATAATTGGTTGTAAATTGGTTTGTGTTTAAAGTACGAAAATATGCTATTTTGTCATGTAGGATCCTGTTCTATATCGATGTTCAGTTATAATACGTTTAATTATAAACTATCACAGTAATACTGCAAGGAAAGCTTCTATTACACGATTAGACCTTCATTGTCAAAAAATGGAATTCAGTATAACGGAACAACAAGTACCAATGTTACTTAGATTAGCTGCCTTAATAATGGCTTTGCAAACAAAACAATTTCCAATTATCAAAGAAAAATCATTAATTTCTGCAGAAGAAAGAGAAGATAGTATACAAGGTTCTACTTCATTTTATTTCATGCAAAATAAAATTATATCGTGTCATTTTGTTTTATAATATATTATCTTGTAATATTGTAGATGATACAGATCATGTGATTGGAACAGCTACAGACAGTACAGGATGGGGTGGATGGGCTTGGAACATGATGTCATCTCTGTTACCTATTGAATGGGACAATGACTGGTCTACAGAGCAGCAAATGGCTTATTCTGGACATACCATTCATTTAGGCATATACGTACAAGATGCAACTTTAACTTTTAAGGTATTTATTTGAAATAAATTGAAAGAGGAAATTAATAATTGTGTTCTTTTTTTTACATAGACAGTCGAAAATGTTAAGGAACAATTGTTTTATAAATCTCGTAAGCTTCGATATAAATCGTTTTTAACATTGCGATTAAATGGTGTAGTAGTTGATACATTGCTCCAAGGAATTGCAATGACCAGTTTTCAAATCGGAATGGGCTACATACGCGTATATCCAAGAGGAAGTTGTAGCTGTGGTCATCTTGAAGTAGTCGATGGAGCACAAGTAATATTTTACACTAATACTAATTTAGAGATAGAGACAAGAGAATCACATAATGTACATATAATGACCTATTTTGTTTAGCCACCTTTGTATTTAGTAGCTGGCAAGATTAATACTCGGTACTTAAAAGATTCATTATTTGATGATGAATCAGTGGAAAATAAAGGCAAAAAACGGGAGTATAGGCAAGGGATATATTACTATTTATGCACAGCTTCAGGTAATGAACCTTTAAATTTATATTCGTAATTTTGAATTTAGTATTAAATATTTATATAAAATGTATTTAGAGGAGAGACTAATAGAACGATGTCCCGCGTTCTCCATGGATTACGTTCATTGCGTCGAATTGCCAGACGATATAACACCTGAAAAACTGGCAGAGTTTGGATCTAATTTTGAGTATAGGTAATCAGGCACTAAATAATTCTTAGAAAAAATTTAACACAAAGAGATAATTTCGTAAACTTTTTTTCAGTAATTTCCGCGAACGTAGAATAATGAGATATATTATAGGTGATTTAACTATTAGATTATGTTCTGGTGTTTTTCACCGTATCGAAACAATAAAACAAGCTGCCGCAAACTATGATTACAATCCATATCTCGTTACGAAACCAGGTATGCTTGAATAATAATTTTCCAAATAATTTTTATTCAAACAATTGTGCATCATTTATAAATTTCAGATCCACTTGTGGATGAACTTCCTCCAGTTACATTGGAAGAATACGAAGCACTAAGAGAAAATGTATCCATGGTTGAGACAAAATTAATAATAGTTAAAGCATCGCTTCAATTGCAATTGGCGGATCATTCTATTACCGGACTTCCACGACAACGAAAGATAATTGAAAGTCGAGTAAGTAGTAAGTGCCCTAATATACGTAGACATATAATAAATAACATTATGTTACTATTATTTATTCTTTTCATATTATCTTGCTAGACGACGCCTTTAACACCTGCTCTTACAGACGATCCTTTTATGAGCATTGAATGTGACGAAGCAATAGCAACTATGCTTCAACCTTTATACCCGTTTAGACTTGCAGCTTGTGCATCCAAACAAACCGATCTTCCAACTGAAATGTTTGATCAGTGTCATAAGATTATTACATTGCAGGTAACAAAGAAGTTAATCCAACATATACGTGATTATTTTTCTTTTTCTTTTCCTAATATATACTTAACTAGGTAAATGGAGCAAGAAGTCAACTTTATTTGACGAAAGATTGTCACACATCAATAATAATGCCTTACTCTGTTGAATGTAACATCAAAAAATTATTGTACCCGCAATATTGGAGAAATGTCGATGTAATACATGAAACATACGCGGCACATATTGACAGTGTTACAGTTACCGGAACAAAAGCGAAGTTAATGGCTGCTGTATCTATCTTGACATCAATTTTTGATTCTAATGATACAACCAACCCTCTTGTCTGTTCCTCTTTATTTAGCGACGCTTGTCAAGAAACAAGTACGTATTACACTATCGTATCGATTAATCGGAAATATTTAAACATATTGTATTTTATATTGTAAACATTTCCTAGATCCTGTATATCTGGAATTGTTACTGGAAAATATAAATTGCAAAAAGTTATCATCTCTGGTTACGATATCAAATGAATTGAATATAAGTTCGGTAAAAGTGTTTGCTCTTAATGAGTCACAGCAAGCCTTTATATTTTCAGGGCCAGAAAGTAATATTTACGGGTTGGTATTCTTTAAATATTTTAGCTCTAAATAAATCCAGTATTTATCATATCTTTTCTGTTTTAGTGATGAAAACAAATCACTAATAACGATTGTAATACAATTTCCACAAAATATTGAAAGACAAACGCATCCACCTCTGATTTCACTTCAAATGGCAGATATCAGGGCTTCGCTTGATCCGTTACTTTTTAAGTGGTTGGAATATCGTGTTACGTATTATAATTTGGGTACGTTGTATTGTACAACTCGACCCGAAGTCCAACAATTTGAAGGGGCGTCTTCAGACACTGGTACGAAGAAAAAGACATTCCCCAGTTTACACGAAAGTGTACACAGCTCCTCGGACAAGGAAAAACGAAAATCCGTCATAGCTACGGAAAAATCGAAAACTTTACAAAATGATGAGATTCAAAAAAAACATGATTCTAAATCCGAAAGTGAGAAACAGGTACATTGCTTAAAATTATTTAGGTAAACGATAATGACGAGGTTTCAAGTAACGGTCAATAATATTAACATTTTCTAAATTAATTATTTGCATAATTTTTTTATCAGTTATAAAAAATTAATCGGTGATAGAACTTACAGAATTTGGGAATATTGGCCAGATTAGCAGAACTGTATCCATGGTGGTGTGGGCTGGTATTAAGTGGATGTGTTGGACATATTGTTATTTACATACCATCAATTACAATGAGTGGTATTGGTGCATATGGTAGGAACGCATGCAACTTTCATACTCTTATATATTAGTAATTCTTTGTAATACTGATTTTTATTAATCAATGTAGGTATAGAGGAAGCCAAGGACAGAGCATTAAAAAACGATAATAAATTACAAATACTGATAATAAAATTACCTTCTCTTCTTATTCATTCATCCAATATAAGTTTCGAATTACTCGCACCGTATCTTCAGGAATTACCTGTTAAATTACCGAGATCAGTGTGGACGAATAGTAAGTAGTAAAAAATATACCAGAAAACATAATTCTCACAGTGATTTATTTCAGAATTGCAAAGTTTCCCGTGGACACTGAGCCTTGTTGACTTCCATTGTTATATGTTACAAGAGCACACCCAGAAAAACTTTATTAAAAGGGTATCGGTAAATGCTACAGTTGCTCTTACAACTAAAGCCGTAACATCCCCGTCTGGAGGAAGTGCGTTAGCTGCTTTAGGTGTTTGTGTTCATATTGATAATTCTCCCATTATTGTTTCGATATCCGAAGAACAGGTATTGCAATAAAATTACTTTATTTAATATTCGAAAGACATAAAAATATCGATACATAGTTATATAACCATATAAATTTCGTATTTACTATAGGTAGTTTTCACGAGTAAAATAATCTCAAATATTTTGAACGTACTGCGAGTTACTGTCAATAATAATAAAAGTATTGTAGCTAGTACTCAAATAAGTACCGAGGCACAAGTAGTTCTTCCTATCATACCTCAGACTCCATCTACACCAACACAATTATTATATCCCGAAGATACAACTACAAATTCGACCCTTTCAACATCAAAAGATGATAGTACACCAGGTATATTATAATTAAACTTATTTTTTTTTATAATTAAATAAATTTTATATTTTTGTGTGCGATATGATGTATTTTATAGATTCAGAAGAACTAGTTTTGACAGCATGGATTCAGTGGACCATAACGAAAATTGCGATTAAATTGTACGTGACAGAGAAAGAGACTTTATCTTCATTAAAATTGGTACTTGAACTGGAAGATATCATTACCTCTTTAGATTTACAACCTGTTTATTTCAAGCTAAAAAATAAAGTTACAACGGCCACTGTATTTCATTATACAAGGTATATTATCACATGAAAAGGTAATTTATGCAATTTTAATGTAATAGACACTAAAAATTTATTTTAACAGAGCACCGAATTCACCTACCTGGGATATCGGTGAGTACGTGGGTGCGGTTCTTTGTGGAAGAGAGGACAATTTAGAGAAAGGTGATGATTCTGGCTTTTTAAGTTTCACTCTTACTAGAGCAAAATCAGGAAACGTTCACACACGATGGGGGACCTACAAACGACACAAAAGTCAAAAGGTAGTTAATATTTAAAAACAATTAAATAATAGTTGGTAATATTCCATATTCTTCTTTGAAGTTTCAGAAAGACATAATAACAGAAACAACATTGTCTGCTAGTAGTTACATATCTGAGATAGTTATAAAAATACAAATGGTGGATATAATCTTACCTCTTACTATAGTTAGTAAATATATGCAATTGGCAAAACCTTTTATGGGTCTCTATCAACCTATTGAGAAAGATACAATCGAAATTTCCGAACAAAGTATAACCACATGCTTAAATAACATTACTAGTCTTGATAATGAAATGTTACCATTAATATATCTGGACTTTAAGGGACTTAGATTAATGCTACCAGTTTCAAATATAACGAAATTGAAACCACAGCATGATCTATTAATGATTCAATTAGATGGAGTTCGTATCACACCTCATGCAGAAAATCCAATTTGTAGAACTCCTTTGAGATTAGATATATATCAACTCGCGGCTCAAGCAAATATTTTAAGTATACCTGGTTCTGCTGTGGAAGATCGGCAATATCAGATTAATATAAAGAATATATGTGCCCACACAACTACCTGGAAGAATTATCAAATGACTATAAATAAGAAAATGTCTCAATCATATTTATACACTATGAACGAAAATCCAGCATTAGAATGGAATAAACTTGGACATGGAAGTAGTTTAGAGCGACAATTCTCCACACTTCCGCTTTTGTCAAAATTCGATTTGTGCTTGATCATTGCTCCGCCTGTTCTATTTAAACCAGATGTCACGGTGTGTGGAAGTGCAATTGAAGTAAATTGTATCACAGATATCGAAGTAACAATAAATTTAGACCAAATTCAGTTGATTTCAATATTAAATAACGAACTAAAGAACTTGTTCCTCGGAAATTTCGAACGAGACAAAAATACAAATACATATATCAGCATATCACAGAAGCCTCTTTCAACTGTGGGAAGTATTAAACAAATTACATGGACAAAACAATCTTCTGATGACATAGATGTTGATGTCACTAAGGATAGCGGTATAGATTTTGAAACGTCTAGCATAAATTCAACAATTATTGGCAAGCCTATCTCTGCGGATACTTCAATACTTTTACCATTCGAATTTCTGGTGAACTGTGGAAAAATAACGTTCGTACTTTATGACATTCATCCAGCAGTTACAGAGTATGAAGTTGATATAAATGAAGTTGAAGAGGATGAGGGTGAAAGTCAGAAACAACCCCTTCTTTACACGATGGTCAATCAGCCAAATATTTATTTTTCGCAACAGCATCCATTGCAAAAAGTACAAGTATCTTGTTTCGATATAACAATGGCACTTGGGGATAAAGATAACAAGGAATTAATTTCAATACCAAGAGAAAAGGATTTCAAAGTTTTTATGATTGAAACAAAAAACGGAGACTTACATCCGGATACAGGCATTCCTCCATCCTTCATAACAATGAAATATGAAAAAACTATAGGAAAGAATCCACAGTTCCTTATAGATGTCGGTAGACCTACAAAAATTTATTTCTCTTTGTCAAGACTGAATCAGATATATATTATAAAAAGTAAGATATTATCATGCTTTATAAAACAATATGAAATAATGCCAGAACAAGACGATAACATGAAAAAATCTTCAGTAATGAAATCGAAAAAGATAAATTGGCCTGACATGAATGTATGTACAAAACAAATCGTAGTATCCCTCAAGACCGATTCCGGAGCCGAAATAATAGCCAGTTTAGCTTCTTTATCCGGGAATATTTCATCTCTTCTTAGACCTGACAGAATATATTCTAATACGTCTGTAGATTCTTTTATCATATCGGCGATTCTTAATGGCAATATAAAAGTGCTTTTGAATCCGTGGTGCTGTAATATTACTATATGCTTGCTTTGGGAGACTTGGTTGAATGTCGAATCTATTCCTCAAATACAAGTACAGGCAGATAGTGATAGTCTTTATTTGGATTTCGGACCAGAACAGATGAAGATTATGAAAAATGTTATGGAAGATGTCCAACTACTATTAAATGAATTGACAAGATCATCTTCAAAGTGCAAAACTAACGAAAAGCAAATTATTCTGTCAACTGAGCAACATTATAAGGACGATCTCAAAGCAGGTGCATTCCAGTTTGTAAATGGAAATGCAGACGAACTACCTTTTCCGTATCAAGTAAATTTCATATCATCTACTTCTCCAATAGAAACTTTAAGAAATAATTTAATGTTTTAACTTATTATTTAATTCATCAGGTTATTTTCTTCACTTGTCCCCAACAATCAATGGCTTGGAGATATCCTCAACCAAGAACATTAACTAAAATACACGTATCCCCAGTACCATTTGAAGTAAGTAAAAAAGAAAAAACAAAATAATAATAGATAATATTTTAAGATTTGGTTTAATTTTATAACAATCCTTTTACATTTTTAGACACTGGATTCTGACAGTGGATACGTTGACAAAGTACTGTGCGCTCTCGAATATTGGAGCGACTCTCACATGTCCTATCAGCGATACGCCGACTTTTATCTGTCAGAAACAGATTCCTATCGTTTGGAGCTTCCTGAGAAGGCTCCAGCAAGGGCAGTAGCTTGCATATGGCGCGTAGTTCTATTATTAAACAATAATCGACCATTCTCTAAAACCATAATCTCGGCCCGTGTTCTTGCCGCCTGTTTACGCATCGATTCTTATTTCAATTCTTCGATTATACCTAACATACAAGCCGCGCTCAATATTGGCACTATACACTTATCAATGTACAATCATCTTAGTACTCTTACATACAACAATTTACAGCCTCCCTTGAAGAATTACGCTCTAAAAGGTACTGTACCCGAAACTCAATGTTTCATGACCTTAGAACATAAAGGAGCCATACTTGTACTTAATAGATGGATTAACGGTTCAATGTTGATTGATATTAGCGGAACATTTGGAGTGCACATACTAGATTACGGTCATTTAACGATGCAGGAAATATTAGATCCTCTAGAGGCGAGACTTCAATTGTCGTTATCTGACAAAACGGACATATCTTTCACGTGCAGTCCATTTGCGTTAAAGTTGAGCCCAACGATAGCTCATACGCTTGCAGTTTCAATACACTTGTGGTATTCGTCCTTGGAAGAAGAAAATAAAACCACGATTTTATTCGCACGCTACGTGATGGCTAACGATAGCAATGTGCCTATACTTTTTGGTCAAAGTGGTACAGGAGACAATATATTATTAGAAAGTAGGCAGTGTATCTTTTATTCCTGGAGAAATATCGGCAACAAAATGTTACGGATAGCGATAGAAGAAAATATTTGGTTGTGGAGCAAACCATTTTCCGTCGGCACTGATGGGATTCAAGCCGTCGAGTTCAGTAATTCTGTCACAAAAACGTCAGCATTCGTAAGCGTTACGTCACTCTCAGCTACGCAGAAGCTTGTAACATTCTCCGGCCAGCTTGTAATTTCAAATCAATTGATCGACAATTTCGAAATGAAGTTAGTTAAATACGAAGCTGATATCGGATCAAAGGTGACCGTGCTGAAAGATATATATCCTGTTTCTGGCAAAACTCGACCGCCCTCGGTTATACTTGACGGAAGCAAAAAAATGGCCATACGTCTGCGATTTACCAATGTTCCAAATTTATCTTGGACGGGGGACATTCCTCTTCAGCCCAATGCGAAATGGGGCCAGCCGTGGCTCGTTAAAGTTCCATTACAAGAACGTGGACAATTTTTAAGCATCTGGGTACGAATAATAACGCAAACAATTCAGGACAAAGTAAAAGTTCTGGCTGTGCTCAGTCCACTTTACATGATTCGCTCTCATTTACCAGTACCAGCCAGAGTACAAATGGATACACCTTCGTTGAAAATATCTCTGAGCACAATGGTGAATGGTCGGGGTGAAAGACAGCAACTTTATTGTCCTGGAACGTTCGAACATTTCCATCAGCTGACGTTTCAACTTGAAACCGGGGTTTCCACGTCTAATCCGTACGTGCCATTGTCATACAGTTCTGTTGATCAGAGAAAATTCTTTAGAAGGCCCGAAGTCGAAGATATTGATAGCATCCTGCAAGATCTTGAGACTCAGAAAGATGAAACAGAATGGCCGTTCCAAGGAGACGAGGTTGAAGAGTGGATATCCGCTGAACAGCCGCAGACACACGTGCAAGTGAAATATCAAGATGCTGGATTAGTTTCCAGTACTTTGCTGCTAGAATTACAGCCCTGGTGCTTTATATTAAACTCCATGGGCTGTCACTTGTCTCTCGTGTCAGAGGACATTGAACTCTGTCAGATTCCTCACTATGGAATCGTAACACCGCCAAAACTGGAAGGTACGTTTCACTTGTGCGTCGGTGTCGGTGATACGTTTTACACGTCCCAAGCGTTGCAGCTAGCTCGACCTGATTGGAGTCAAAGCTTCTACATGCCTCGAATCGGTGGTCTTATTCCTGTTGAAGGAAACATCAAGTCGTGCGTCGACTGTGGTTCAAGCGTTTCAATCATGAGCATCAATTCAAGTATGCACGAGGATATGCGTCTTGTGCGCGTGATGAGTAGCCACGTTATTAGTAACTTAACATCTCAGGAGTTGTGCGTAGCAACATTGGCAGTACACGAGGATGCAACTAGACTTGAACTGCCTAATGACCTTACTCCCTACAGCCTCAATATTTCGCCATCCGAAGACCAAAAACAAGGTATTCCGATTACACAATGGTACACATTGTATATGGAAGATATCATAGAGCCCCTTGTGCTCTATGTATCTTTAAGCATAGGACACAAATGGTCGTGTCCGATTCGAGTTGACCAGGGTATGAGTCGTAAATGCGTTGCTGTTCCCAATGGTTCTAGCAGTATGCCAGTAGTCATCACGATGCAGGAAGACAGGGGTACCATGTACATAATGATTCATGTGGATTATCACCCTCAGTTGTTGATTGAGAACACCTGCGCTTTCAAAGTTTTATTAGGTCAAGCTAACGAAACGGCAGAGGCAATAATACCAGATGCCTCGCATTTTACATGGATTTGCGAAATAGAAAGTAACGCAACGAGTCATTATTCCATTCCATCCGTGAGTAACAGGCTACCTGATGCACCGCTTGCTAACACATCAAATATACTGCTGTTCTCTGCTGTGACAAGCAGTCACAACGAATCACAGACCATCAGAAGTAAGGAATTGCGATGGTCGAGAGGTATAAATTTATCCGCCATATCAAGCACACCAGTGGATCAGTATGTGCGTCTACCATCTTATGGCGATGTAAAGTTAATCATGCAGAATCGTTGTTACACCACCTACATCAGTATTGTTCCAATATCTCAAGTAGAAGTATCCGCAAGGGACATCCGAACTCGACTTCTGCAAAAAGAAAACGAGACAAAGGATTTGGTAACGATGCGTGATAAATTTACTTCTGATCCGGATGATCAGCCAATTATAAATGTACAAAGTTCTGAAAGCTCGACGTCGATAACAACCTTCTTTTCGGCTCAAGACGAAACACTAATTACAGAAACTAAAACTGCTTCGCAGCTAAATTTAAAACAGATAATAACAGATATGGAGAGTGTAAAGATCAATGCAAATGACGATACAAAGGATACTGAGGAGAATAATTCCAAAGAAGGATCTGCGACCATTTGCCTTCAGGGAGTCACCATCATCATCATGCATGATATGAATGAAAATGCTCAAAGAATCGAAGTGGCCAGCTTATCTATGACTGATGTTATAATCGCCATTAATGCTAGATCCAGAATTGTAAATTTACGTGCTTTCATAGGAGATCTACAATTAGACAACCAACTATTTGATCAAGGAGGTTTCGATTTTCCAGTAGTACTGATCAGCCAAAGTCCACTTACAATGAAAGAAACAGCATTTTATACGAGCAGTTGTTTAATAAATAAAATAGAACAAATAAGAGAAAATTCGTTAATTGCGATTGATTATGTATTAGAAAATCAAGGACAATTAAGAGGTATTTAATTATCTTTAAATGTATTTAAAAAGTTTCTCTATAAATATTAATTTCTTCGTAACATTTTTCAGCATCAAAAGACTTACATATAAAAATTGCACCAATTAGTGCCTATATTGAAGATACATACATAACTCAATTACTAAATTACGCAACTTCAATGGTACCACCTCGATTTTTGATACCAGACGATGTGAAAAAGACAAGAACGTTAGTTTCAACTATCGGAGTGTACATTCCTGATTATATAGTGATTGACGCGAGAATATTAAGCGCCCCATTAAGATTACAAAATTTAAAGATAGACCCTGTCTCTATCTTATTAAGTGTTCATACTTCTGTACGTTTATATGTGGCTTTAGATCACTCTCCTTTATATTTTGGTACTTTTGAGAAGAAGAGTATTTTAACTACACCTTATAGACTGGGCAATGCTCTTACAATGCATTACTTGTCTGGTGCTATATTTGGAGCAGGTATAAAGATTATACTATTCAAATTCTTTAATATTAGAAGTATAGTATTCTTTAATATTACACTATTCTTCTCAATTATTTAAATATAATTTAATATTACATTAAAACATTCGCACCTTAGGTTGGGTAGTAGGATCATTAGAAATATTAGGTTCTCCTGGCAGCTTAGCACAAGCTCTTGGTTCAGGACTTCGAGATTTTATTTCTCTCCCGTTTCAAGGCTTGTTACAAGGACCGTGGGGTTTCATCGTTGGAATAACACATGGCTCTGCCAGTTTAATGAGACATGTTACAGCAGGTATTAACATATGCAAGCATCCGCAATTAACTATCAATTAACTATCAAATTGATCTACTTATAATTTTATAATATTACATAGGTACGTTAAATTCTGTAACAAAACTCGCATCGAGCGTAGCTCGAAATTTAGATCGTCTGACACTCGACGAGGAACATCTTCAACGGCAAGAAGAATCCAGGAGAATGCGCCCTCAAGGAATGGCACAAGGACTATACCAAGGCTTAACAGGGCTTGGAATGAGTCTTCTTGGTACATATACATATTTTTAATTCATTGTTTCTTGTTCCTACAGTCTTTTTATTTTTCAGCCGCAGTTGCGGGTTTGGCTCATCATCCTTTACAACAAGTTTGGTCAGGAGAAATAACAACGAAAAGTCTTGTGACTGGTGTTGGACTTGGACTTGTTGGAGTAGTGACTAAACCTCTAAGTGGAGCTGCTGAACTAGTTGCGTTAACAGGACAGGGGTTACTTCAAGGAGCTGGCTGGAATTCTTTGCCTTCGGTAGATAATTATCACAGAGTTTATTTCAAATTTTGAAGTACTGAATTAGAGAAATTAGTTGGTAACAAACTAATCTTTACAGCCTCGACAACGACCAGTGGTTCAATACACTACCGGAAATAATAATGCAACGATTAGATATGCTTGGTGGTTGTTACCTTTACTTGAAAACAATCATGGGAATATTTTGCATGTTACTAATGCAGATTACGTGATCCAGCAAGGCAGTAGTCGTGCTATAACATTAGTTCTGACACGACATGCATTGTTGCTAGTTAATGCAGCTGAAGATAATGTAGAACGGATATATTTATTGAAAGATTTAACAAACGCCGATCACCATTTGGAATCAACAATATGTTTGTATTGCTGCCCTGAAACAACACAAACTAATAGATCTATATCTCCAGCACCGTACGAAGTACGATGTGTATTTTATCATTTTTCTGTTACATAATATTTGAGTGCAATACAATATTTATATTGAAAATTTCTTTTGTAGATGGATCGAGAAATGCGAGCACGAGTAGCTGAATATGTACGAACTAGCAGTACTGGTTTAGCTAGTGTTTCTACAAACAGCGATATACAGTCCGATATATTTGAGAACACTACTCCCAACTCTGACCGTACGCTTACATTTTACGTTTCACCAGATTCACGCAACTATTTATTATCGTTGTTTAACATCGCTAAACGGCAAAGTCAAGGTAGCGGATTTACGGTGTTATAATGAATAAATAGAACTAGAATTATTTTTTTCCTTCAGAATTAGATTTATAAAAAATGAAAAGTGATAAAGTAGTATTATATTCAAAAATTATTCAAGAAAATGCGAGACAAGACCGAATTATACTATATGTACATATTTATAATAACATTTTTAATCTTATTCCGGGTAATGGATTTAAATTTATGAACTTTATTTCGTAAAAATGTGCTGTAATGTGTTGCACAGAGAAAAATATGCACAAGAAGACGTTCTTACAAAGGAAATGTTTTTTTTAATTTTATATGAAAATTTGTACTATGAAAAATTCTCTACAATCTTTATTTATTAAATAACGTATATAATGTACATATCGTAGAAAAATCATAGAAGTATGTATGCAAATTTAAGTACAATGGACTCATTCTCACATATACATATTCTGTGCAAGTTCTTCACATATTCGTTACGAATAATATAAATAAAATTTATAATATAATATAAATATAATAATTTGATAAATTTTTCATAACTTAAACAGATCCATCTAAAGATGCTATGTTATCATACATTGCTCATCATTATTTGATATATATATAACTAGAAGTTCACAGGATATAATAAAATGTAAAAAATTTTATATATTTATTAAAGAAATCATATTTTATTTACAATATGTCACGTTGATCGTTCGTAATTAATAATCCAACACAAATAATATGAAGAAATAAGTCAATTATTTATTCATAAATTCGTTCTACTTCGTTATTCTTATAAGGCATACCACAAGATGTACATTCATTATTTTTCACTGATATTAAGACTTTTCTACATAAAATATGCTTACATGGGAGCTGATAAAAAATGCCATTAGGGCAACAGGAACAACTAGTTAATTTCAAGTTTGACTCATTCTGTCTTGGAATGTTATTAAAACGTTTTAAATTAGGTACTGCTATATTAGTGTCAAAATCTATTTCATTATCAACAGTTAAATTCACTATATCAGTACAATTATTTTTTTGCTCTCCATCTGAATTTTTAGAAAGATGTATGGTGGAAGTATAACAATTGGCAGTTATTTTTTTCTTTGCTGGTTTAATTAATGCAGCAGTTCGTTTTTGAGACATTACAACGACTGGCAATTTATGACAAAGTTTCTTTTCTGCTTTTACAGAACTTACTATAGAACAATGAAACTTTGGTTTAATATTGTTTGAAGTTTCAATTATATTTCTTTTTAACAAATAATTAGGAACTTCTGCTACCTTTTTATTAAATACATCACCGTTAGCAGACAATGTACGGCCTAACACTCTTGGTAACTTTTTAATTTCCTCGTCATTGCTATTTTCAAGCAAAAATTTATCTATCCTTATTTTTAAAGCATTTGCTATAACAGGTTTACGATCTTCACTAAATGGCAAACCGGTAAAAGGATCAGTCAATCTTCTTCCCCACATTGCTTCAGTTTCTTCATGTTTCAGTAACGTACTTTGATCAATTATTTTTCCACTTGGCAAGAGAATTGGTTGAGTCATGATTTCATAAGTAATAGCATCTAAAAAACATTCTGGAACTTGCAGATTTGATTCCAATGTTTCTCTAAAATAAATACATATACAGAGTTAATAAATAATATACTATATATTAGTACTTATACTAAGAAATAATTGTATTCTAATACTATTATAATAATTAATTTTATAATTTCATTTACTTAGTATCCTTAGTATTAGCAGATGAACTGGTGCTTTCACATTTTTTCACAGATTCAATTGAGCAAGATTGTTGTTTAAACCACAAAGTAGAAATAGCAGCTACAGTATCTTTTCTACAGCGTGGTGATACAGTTCCCCATACTGTAATCTTACCTAATGCAGGTACTGAATTCTCCGTTTTACATATACAAATTCTTAAACTATTTGTGTGTGTTGTTAAGTACTGCAGAGAGGACTTTATAAAACGTTTTAAAAAATTACTTGGAGTAGAAATTGTTTCATGATTAATACTTGATGGACAAAATAATAAACCGGCGTCTGTAGAGTTTAAAAATCCACTGCCTAATAAATTATAAGGTACATTGGCATCGTTGCTAGTTTTGGCATACAATTGAAAACCTGATGATTTTTGAGAACCAACTTGTGGCCAAATTAGAATATGGTTGATGCACACGTTGCATAGGAAAGTAATATCAATATTTATGGGAGGCTTGATACAAGCATATGCCAAAAATCCTTTGTCAGAATCACTTATTAAATTAGTAATTTCATATCCTTCTGTGTTGACAGCACTACATTGAATTTCTGGCTTTAAACGAGGATCACAGAAGTTGAAAAGCATTTTCTTGCTCTAAAAACGTATGAAACAGCATGCTTCGTAGGAATTTTTAATTCTACTAATATCGAATGAAATCGAAAATAACCTAACCTCAACTGCTGTTACACAGTCAGGTTAGTAAGCGTCGAAACGCGTCGAATTTCTGAGTGTAAAGTAAAAGCACGTGGACAAAACAAAGTGAACTTCTTTCAAAGAATCAACGTGAAAAAATGGAAGTAATAAAGCAAGAAATTGACAGCAGTGTCAAAGAAGTCGAGACTGGTGATAGTACAGAAACTAAATATGAAGAAAAATTAAAATTTACGAGTTCTATAGCCAAACCTATGGCTCCAAAAAAATTAACCAAAAAAATTTATAAATGCATCAAAAAAGGTATTTTTGTATATGTATAATTGTATATATACAATTGTATATAATTGTATATATACAATTATGAATGAATTGAATATGTATAATTTCTTAAACATGATTATTTATAATTTGTAATATAACCACGTTTCAGCTGCAAAATATAAATCTTACCTTCGAAATGGTTTGAAGGATGTTCAGAAGCACCTTCGCAAAGGAGAAAAAGGGTAAAATGAATTTTTTATCTATGACTGCAATTAGATATTTGTAGTTCAATAATCAAAATAATCAATAATCGAAAAGCTATTTGTGTAAAAGTATATTTGTATATTTTTGCCAGATTGATTGTCTTTGCTGGAGACGTATTTCCAATAGAAATCATGTGCCATTTACCAATTGTATGTGAAGACAAGAATATTCCATATTGCTTCACACCTTCAAAACAAGATATCGGTGCTGCTATGGGTGTAAAAAGAGGCAGTCTTATGGTACTTATTAAAGAGCATGAAGAATACAAAGAACTTTATGAGGAAATTAGGAATACAATGATAACATTATCAACGCCATTATAGATGTGCATTGAATCATTTGTATTTTTTACCATTTTGTAAATAGAATAAATTAATCTATTCTTTAAGAAGAGAAAAATATTTATATGTATCAGATGCTATACAACATTTTTCAATGCAAGTAATTATAAAATTATAGAATTAGTAATTATAGAAAAGAAAGAAAAATAGAAATTTTTCTAATTTAATCCAACATCTCTTAATTTGAAGACTTTTTATCTCGTTTTCAATAAAAAAGAAAAAGGTATGTAATTGTGTTTGGAGCATAATTTTTAAAAAATACTAATTTTAGTTAAAAATTAAATTTATTTATCGCCTGTGCATTCTTGAAAATAGAATATTAAAATTTAGCTTAAGATAAAAATCATATTTCTCGAAGCGGTATGCATATATATGTATATATGTATGTAAGTATATACAGCTTTGCTTTTAGTTTTACCTTAGGCAAGTAAAATTAAATCTGACATAGATGTCATTACGATCGATTAACGGTCATCAAGATATCCGAAAATCAATATGGATTGTCAGTCGAGACCTCCGAATAATCGCTTTGCTTTCTTTTTTTTTCTTTTTTTTTTTTAATTTCACGTTCTCTCTGATCTTCGAAATATCACCGAACGTAAAATTTAAAGGTAATTACAAAACTTGATGTTTATTAAAGTTCGATAGTACTGTTCACTTGCCGTCCATCGTGTTATACATATTTGTTCAAATATTGGCGCAGAAGTGTTTCAATTTGAAAATGCGTTCGCATACACGAAGATCGGAAATAAGATCGGCGCTGATCATCAAGGTATAATTAAAGCAATAGAAAAGTTTAATATACGAAACGGTTAAAAAATTTGAAACGTAAATCGTGCTTGGGCATCTCGATTTCTTATAGAAATATTAATAATTAGTCGTGAGATTTGACTCGTGTCGAATCTTTTGAAAAAAAATTTATACGTTCGTTAATACGGAACGTGTAATATGAAATGTTCGAGGTTGTGTCATCTGTGTGATCGATATCTATGCTTAAACTCTTAATTCGACCAAGTTACTTCAATCGTGTCAGCAACGAATCGGTTACAGTAATGCTTTGTTAATTAGCCTGATATATTTGTTTATTTTACATTCGAGATATACTATGTAGAGACACTCCACGAAGTCAGTTCTAAGAACTGGTGGGGATAGCTATGGCCAGTTAACGCGGCACTACTGCACAATTCAGAGCACAGACGTCGCAATCGCAATAATCTTTCTCGGCTTAGGATCGAAGGCTTTGCGAGCGTAACAAATTGAAAAGTCAGAAGAGAGCAAAACGAATATGTAAGTACTTTGAAAAATTGAGAAATTTTTGAGAAAAAAAAAAGAAAAGATGAGTGGAAACGAAAAGAATTTCTGTTCGTCGACGTAAATCGACGTTCATACTGAACTTTCCGTTTACAGGAAACGCTTTCCGCATCTGCCCGCAAATGCCTTGTACGCATGGACAAACACTTTAACAGAAGTTTGAGGTAAATCCTGACTAAAACACATGTTCGAAAATTATAATTTCCCGAACCCTCTCCCCCCCTATCATTCTACACCTTCGTACATGTGACTGTATTCCTTATTCCTACGGTTACTGATTTCGGTATAAAATATACATTTTGTAGGAGTGACGAAGGATAACATTGACATTAAAATTGACGTAGCGTACAAGTGGGACGTTATTCTCACCCTCGCCGGAACAGACATACTCTTGCGTGTACGTTATTTCTGTTAATTTACAGATCAGGCAGTAATAGATCTTGTATATATATATATATATGTATATATATGTTTAACTTTACTTCCTCTTCGATTCTCCCTGTTCAAATATTTCAAACTGTTTAAATATTTGAAACTGTTTAATTCGAATAATCACTTAAAAAGCGCACATTATCACGCGTGGTAACGTAAACATTCGTTTGTATACAGTACTGCTTTGTTAATTGACCGCAGCTATCCCCACAAATTTGTTAGAAGTTTCTTCATGGAGAGGGGTTGGAAGGGGAGTGTTAATTAGCGGCCAGCTACGAAGATAGTACTGTATACGACGTATGTAAAATTACAATTCTTCGTGTATCTTTCGTTTCTTTCCCTTTTGTTTCATCCCATTCGCTCACGCATTCGAAACATACTTTCATTGCGCGATGATGCATGGAAAAATCGAAATTGAACGATTATCACGACGAAGAATGATCTAACAAATATTAGATATCTGTAATACCGACTAATAGTACAGGTTGCTTCATATCTAATGGAGAATTTACTTGAGAATTAAACGCGATTGATGACCGGCTTTAATGATGCACGATTACGTTTCTTCGATGTACGAGGGCCAATTTGTGCCTTATAAAGTACAAGTTCGCTAAGAAAATATATAATATACGCGAGAATTCACTCTTACACAGAGATACATTCTAATGTAGCATCGTTCTATACCTTACGAACGTTAACAATATAATCGTTACAATACATGTATATATAGTCGTTACGATTATATATATATCGATTCACTCCAATTTTCTCTCCGTTATTATCTATCCTACTAAGTTAGTGTTTTACCGATGTAATCGCAATTTATAATTCTAGCAGTAACCCATTACCGTGATCGATATGTTGCAGTTTTTTTCAGTGGACGATCCAACGTTACGTAGATTGAACTGCACGTGTCCCCGTCGTTTTTTTTTCTTTTTTTCTTTTTTTTTCTTTTTTTATGGTAATCGACGATTGATGAGTGAGAATAGTAATTTCACTTAGCCATAAATCGTTATAAAATAGTACAAATACGAAGGGTCTCCTCGCACTCGAAGAAATCGCAATCTCGTTAGATGGGAACTCAAGAAATGAAGCATGGCCTGTCGTCGGATGCTGTACAAACAATGTAAAAATCCGCGTCGATTTATCGTTAATAGTTACTTATTCCTTATAGAACTATATGTACCGCTTGGCATAATCACGCTCTACTATGGACTAAAGCTATTGCTCGTTTTCTTCAGTCTAACACGCATCGATAAAAGTACGGCGAATCTTTATCGTCTCTTGGAAATTTTCTTTTTTTCTCTTCCCCCTTCAGTGGTTCGATTCGATCTCTTTTTTGTTTCCAGCTTGTCCCTCTCGCTTCGGTTTTTGTAAAATTAAACTGTAATGTTAGGCAGAGTGGGAGCTGGAAATGAAAACAACTGTCTCGATTTTCCGGAATTTAGATCGCACAACGATTGATTGTGAGTAGAAAATCCAATTCGATTTCCGATTGCCTGTGGGATTCAGAAATTCTTCGTTTAAGAACGTACGGGAAATCTCGAGTAATATCGGCCAGAAAAATCTGAAAAAATCTCAAGGATGTTAACAACCACTGAGGTAACACCTCTTGTATATAAAAATCACTCGTTACGTGATCGAAGTGAATGAGCAATCTGAAGCATTCACGTCCTCCATGAAGAGACGTACCGTGCTCATTGACGGACGCATAATTGGATGCATATTGGATATATTTTTTTTCAACTTGTATCGTGATTCATCTCTTTCATTTGCAATTCGTGTTTACGGATACGATCAAAAAGACGTTAAAACATGTTCCAGGTGATCGACGTCACCCTGTTTAAGGTCGCTGTGGCAGCAACGACGAGTCGTCAACGAAAGGCACCATCTTGTTTTATTCGCTTACAAACGACGGACGCCCGTGTGAAATTCTAAAAGAATCGATAGCGTACAATTTCTTTTTAAACCCGTTTCTTGAACGACAAGTACGGATGTCGGGATTCATCTTCGTTAAGGTTGTACAAAAAGATACGATCGCACCAATTTTCTCGGATATTCAATAATCCATATATCGCTTCTTTCTTTCTTTTCTTTTTCTTTTTTTTTTTTTTTAGACTGGACTTTTTGTCCCAAGGCAAAGAAAACCAGGAAAAAGGATCACGATAAAGATGACTGATAAAGAACTGGAGGATCTATATACCCGGATTTTTTTTTTTTTTTTTCTTCATAGATATCCTCGCGTGTGCATAGATCGTGTTGTCGGCGTTTAACGTTCCTTAGGTATAAATCTGTAGCAGTATCAAAATAGTAAAAATGGTGCATATGAAGACCATGAGCACGGGTAGGACCAGAATGAATCGGACTGAGCGGCGTAAGCCGCTAGGCTCTTGTCATACAACCTGTTCACCTGACTCTATTGAGTCGAACAGGGGTCGTTCAGCTTGCGGATCGTTGTTCGCCGACGACGCTGTGCCTCCACCGCCGCTGGAACTTTCTCTTCTAGTTTTGCTCGTGCCGGAGAAGCATAAACAACCGGACTGATTGCGATTTCTCTTCAACGTCGGCTTATTTTCGCGGTCACGTTCCGCCAAACATTTTTGGTAGTAATCATAGTCTTTCAAATACCTATTGAACGATAAGTCAGATTATTAAATTATTAATTAATGAAACTTATTTGATGGAAATTCAACTTAAGAGAAACAAAACAACTTAATGTTTCTCTATATTCTCTCTAGAGTATTTTGAAACACGCACCACACTGGAGGCCATCGATGCTCGTTCAGGTATTCCTGGTTCTCCGGATGCAAGAGGCGTACGCTTCGCGGAGACATCTTGCACAACTTGTTGTAATTGACGCACAAGTGGTTCATACACCAGTCAGCTAGCTGATCGGCGTTATGCAACTGCAACATGCAAATTTCGCGAGTAAGCCATCTTGCAATGAAGTTGAATTCATCGATCATGTACAAGTCTCGTTTTGAAGAAAGAGCTGACCTTGCATGGTTCCAGCAGTCTGAGACAGTTCTCAACGGCCTCGTTTCCTTCATTTTGAGACAATCTCTCGAGATCTTCGATTACTCTGCTCTCGACCAAGTTCACCAGTCGTTGCAAACAGAGACGATTTGCCAACTCTAAGAGGTTCAAGCACCTGGCAGAGGAAATTGCTGGCACTTCGTCCGTATAGAGATAGCAGAGCAGTTTGTGGAACGTATATTCGCGTACACCGGGAAACACTATCTGTTCATTGAATTTCATTTTTGCAGTTTCATTAATTTATGGAGCAAGACATTTAAAAAAAAAGAAAAAGACATTACACACGATGAGATACATACCACTTTTGCGCTACTTTCACGGAAATCTCCAGAGAACATGGCCTTCATTACATCACATCGGGCAGTGAGAATCGCTTTGTGAGCTGGTACGCTTCCATCGTCTAGTTCGAATATCACATCAGCGAAAAGTCCTGAAACAAATCACATTTTACGATGGGAATAATTATTTCAAATTAAGTTTTCTTATTTCCGATGCAATTTTTATCAATACTATACCTTGTTCTAGACAAATGTCTTCCAGACGTTGCCTCACCACTTGTTTATATCGATTGTTAAGATCGTTATTGAACTGGTCTCTTGTCTGCAAAGTTCCAAGCACCATCAGCAATTGTGGAAGCTCCAAGAATTCTGCCGCTTGTCTAATCTCCTGTACGTGAAAGAAGCTGAAATTAATTGACATTCATACGTAATGGTAAATGAATGTAAAATGAAATTCTTGGGATTCCATATTTAAGTTATCAGCTGAAAGAAGGTTGGTAATATTTCTCATGCACCCATAATCGATGAGATCCTCTATTTTATTTAATGATCCTTGCTATCTAAAAATATTTAAATCCTTTTTTTTCAATTGTTACGTTCTATATGAATTACTACTAGTATGAACTATTGTGCTTTCATTATTTGACATTTTCATGAAGATTATTATTAGATAAGGAACATGCTAAAATGATGACAGATGTGACAGTGACCTGACAAATTGATTTTAGAAATCGATGATTCGATACTTTTTTTAGCTAAATGTTTCTAGAATATGCGTGCGTGTAGCATGTGTTCATGTGTATATATGTGCTCGTGTCAGCAAACGTATTTCACATTGTACTAACCAGTAGAAGCCCGATAGGAGCTGTCTGAAAGAATAGAGCCGCGTTAGTTCCCGCATACGGTACTCGTGTTTAAATTCTAAAACTTATTATTCACATAAAGTACTCCTCCGGCAAGGAAATTAGATTTACTCTACGTCTTTATCCCCGAAAATAGTACAACCCACTTCTGAGTATGCAGATATTACAAAATACTAATTATATAATTTTCTGGAATTCCTACCACTGATCTAACTTCCTAAAACAGATTAACTAGTTGCTTCGAAAGCTGTTTAGATAGGTTTACCATTATTACACTTGTACTATATAAAAAGTAAATGCATAAAATTTCTTTATAAATTATTGCATATATTTATTGTATTATATAAATTATATAATCAAGTTACTTTTTTTTATGTAATAATGACGTCAAAAAAGAAAATGAACGTAATACAAGCTATTATATTAATCAAAAAAAAAAATTTTTTTAGATGGTCCACGGGTGTACCTGCCCGCCATAGATAATTCTACCGACGCAACGTACTTGTAGATCGTGATACCGTTTATCCAAGCTGCCCGTATAAATGAACTGCAAGCATTGCTGCATCGCCTGTGGTGTAATTAATTTAGACAGCGTCACCACGGTCGTTGGTTGCTGCATTCCGTTTGTGTTTTCAGTCTGTAAATTGATTGGACGCTTATTATTGTTATTATTACAAATTCTCGTTAATTTATTAATTTTGACTTTCAGGTTTACGAAAACTTACCAAGCATACACGGATGTTCTGGAAGGCAGGATGATTGAGGTCTCTGGTAGTTCCAGACGGTTTCTTTTGGTTCTCCATCGTGGGCAGTACTTGAAAGCTCGAACGTCGCTTCAGTTGTTCCCAAACCCTGTAACATAATTCATAACAATATCAACGTTACTATTGCAAATTTGTAAAATTGAAGGAATCGTTCAAAATTTAAGACAATCTTTTCTCGAATGAATGCAATTCTGTCACGTTTTTTACGCAATCTTCTTTTAAACGTTAAAACGAATAACAGATTGCAGATGATAACGTAGGTATGTTGTCGTATGAATAGAATTTGCTGAATGAACTCACTTTGCAGGTTTTGATTGATCAATACGAATCAGGCACTCAGTGTCGTCGTTAAAGTCGCCGACCGTTGCTTCGCCGAACGTACTCACCTTAACGAACAATTCAAACGAACATATTCGCAAAAGGATAAGACAACAAAGATGTAAACGTACGATAAGAAACGAAAAAATACCATGCTTGATTCGCTGGAGCTTCGAGGTGTTTGTTCTTGAACGAGTTCCATGGAGAAAAGTCGATGAAACGCGGGCGATGCAGCGGCTAAAAGACACCTATGCGCGGAGAACGTGCAGTTTCCGGCTATCAAAGTCACATCTGTGTGAACTGGCTTCGTCCATAACGTTTTCATGTTCTCCTCGTAGGTGCTCGCCGCCAGACACACTTCCGGCGGGACAGGTTTTGGTGGACAAAACGGTGCCTAAAATATATTTTATTAATTTAAATAATTTAAGTCACTCTCTCTCTCTCTCTCTCTCCTTTTGTCTCTTAAATTAGCCTTTTCTTAAATAGGCAGAAAATATACCTGAAGTAAAGGCCTCTGCACCCTTTTTAAGTTCGTCATCCAGAATCGCTGCTGGCGTCGCGCAATTAAGGCAGCGCGTATTGAGTTCTCGAAAACTTCGTTAACACCGTAATACGTGAAGACGCTGGTCTCGTAGTAACAAACACCAAGTTCACGTGCAACAGCTCGAGCTTGATCAGGCATTACCAGATCGCTCTTCCTTGTGGCCCTAAATAATATATAAGGATAAAAAAAAAAAAATAGAAAATATTTTAAGGGATTGAATTAAACAATATTTTTAAAAAATTTCGAAGAATCGTTATCTTTATAACAGAACGTATCTTTATGAAGTAAGATTATAAGCAGAATAATCATGAAGACGGTACTGAAAGTCGCGATGAACTTTGAAAATCCCTCGGGAGCCTCCAATATGTCAAGGCTCGGTTAATCCCGTCCCATATCGCGTGGCATATCGAAATAAAATAATCTTCGCTAAACTGTTCAAGCAATACAGATGCAAAAATTTAGCAGCCATGTTTCATCGATTAAATATACGAACGTAGTAAGTGAATTCACAATTCTGTTAAAAGTTTGATATATTCTACTCTATTTAGGTCACAGAAAGATGTCAATCCCATATTAGCTTGATCGTATGAACCAGTGTTTCCCAACTTATAATCTCTTACTAGCCAATATTTGCACAAAAATTTTCATTCCGAAAAAAAAAGATACGCTGAAAACGTATATTTTTTAGTCTGTAATTCTAATTTATAATTATACATAGACACACAGTGATTCGGAGTTTTTGATTAATAGCATAATACTCGGCATATCAAGAGAGAATTACTCAGGATCTCAAGACTTGCTTTCCCAGATAAACGATAAGATCTATCGATAAACCATAAAGGGCCCTTAAGGACCTCTGTTACTCAAGATCTACTACTATACTACGATCGTTCCATCTTGGTGTGCTAAAAGTCGAACAGAACTCATTGCCCTACTCGACCTTGTCGACAGACCTTGTCGATAATGTCCTCGAGTTACCGGAAAAAGGATAATTTCTATTTGATAAGAGACCGCAAAGTTCAATTTCTATTTGATAAGAGACCTCGTCGTCCGATCGGCAAAAGGTCGCAGAGCATTCGTGGAATCAATACTTTGACACACTTCGCGGAAGAGGCCGTCATTGAGGAAGCATCGATGCATTTGAACGAGTTCCAATATAGGGTGAAAAAATCGATCCGGGGAAAGAGAGTGTTGCTTCTAAATGTGGAAGGGAAAAAGGCTGGCTATAGTTAGAGAGCGATAATGTACCTCACGAACGGACTCCGGTCACGGAAATAGCTCAGATACGTCTCATCTCGGTACATGTAACGTAGATCGTTCTTGCAGCCCACTAACAACACCGGGGTCTGCGGGCAGAATCGTCGTATTTCCGGATACCACATCGCCTTGCAGTTCCGCAGGGATACAGGATTTGTTATGGAGAAACATAGTAGCACGACGTCCGATCTGTATTTATAAGGAATTCGACAATTTATCGTGGTAATTTTCAACATATGTACTTAGACAGTGTTTAATCTTTGAAAAATTAAATGAAAAATTGCTTTCTTTTCTTTTTTTAGGGAATGACAAGTAGAATTTCTTTTAGTTTTTAAAACTATCGTAGAATAAAATCTGAAATTGTAAGTATCAACTTTGCTATGATTGTAGAAAAAAAAAACAAAGATATTTTACAATTTGTTAATTGATGCGTGGAAGACAAGAAATTTGAGGAATCGAAGATCGAGCACTTACCTGCCGTACGCGAAACGTCGATCCTTCTCGTGGTCGCCAAACGTATCCCAAAGTCGCAGGGAAACATTCACGTTGTCGACTACCTCCCAAGAGCGTTCTAAAACCTAGAAAACGTAAGGCGTAAATTGTAATTTTTTTTTATCCTAGTTGTAGTTTTATATTCTCAATGAAAACGGAGATACAACACAGTTTGAACTCCTCTGAAACGATTTAAGGGTAAGCACCAATGTAAACATTCGTTCTTAACTACAGAATTTTCAAGTTGGAAGTTTCCTCTTACTTTACGTTTACATCACCCAATTTATTACATATTAAAGGTAGAGACTACAACTGGTAAATGACATCGAACGACAACTTCATGAACTCACGTCCTTGTAAATTCTATACTGGTCGATGGCCCAGACGGTGGGCACGTGGGTCGTCAAGAGTTGCGACAGCGACACGTGTTTGTTACAGGCTCTCGCGCAGATCAGCCTGGTCTTTCCAACTGCCGTATCGCCGACAACCACGCACTTGACCAGTTCCTGATGTGGCTGCTCATTGTCCATCACCGACAATCACCCCTGTTCATCCAATACGGCCTCCTCTCACGTGCCAGGTCGTTCGAAAACGCGGTTTCCTCCGTTGCTACCGTTTCGTCAGTCGAATGGCGCAACGTCCACATCCGATCTTCACCGTGAAAGATGACGCCGCGTCAATCTCCGCGGTCTCTTCCGTTCCCTCAACGACGCTGCAACTAAAATCGTAAAGGGACAATCGTAACGATACGATTGGTCAATGGATCTACGCACGCGATGTCCTTGGAAGAATTCTAAAAATGATCTAATCGCTGCTTGGAAATTATAAGAAAAGAAGAATGGCGCAGACACAGAGAGGAAGGAAGGCTAACTTGAGGGCTAACTTGATACCGGTTACGTTGCGTGACGGACTGAATTGCACTGTAATGCATCCGCACTTTCAGTGCGTTTGATCTTTCGTTCAACGTAGCTTTACTCTGATTAAGTTCTCGGAACAAGATCTTTCTATGGATCATAGAACATCATCCTTAGATAGAATGGGGTAATAAAAATAAATGCAGATTTTGTGAAATGAAAGACATTGAAAAACGGTCTTAAGCGAAAAGTACGAGATACAAGATTGAAAGTTAAACAGATGCTGATAATGATGTAGATGTAGTGCAGACGTTCGGTCACGTAGGTATTTTAAGCTTACGTGCAACGTTCAGACGTCCAGGCACCGTGTGAATATACATGTATACGCAGAATGCCTATTGATTTGACCCCGTAAGCGCCTCCTCTATATTTAGTATCGAACGTTCGTAACTTCAACCTCAATCCCTATCGCCTATCACCTTAACCCTGAACCAAGCCATGGACACTAAACGTTTGCACGTTCACCACGAGCTTCAACAACTGTCGTTGATCGTGTCATCCGCGTTTAATTGAACCTCGCATCTTCGTACCGGTTTACACCGATTTTTACCGAAATTTAACCAGAGTTATTATTTATATCAGTGCACGAATGCCAGGTACTTTCTAGGCAATTTGTGACGTTCGTTTTTGAATATATAAATATCAATTCCTATATCGAAATCGACGAGCTTGATTCAGATTGTTGAATTGGTCAAGAGTTGGTTTTCTTTGATACTTTTTATTAATTTATTTTATTTTAATTTTCTTTCTTTGTTTCAGATAAACTGTGGATGACACGTGCATATACATATAATAATGTGAATTAAAAAGTAATGTGACTAAAAAATCATAAGATTAATAATAAGATAATAAGAAGAAAATGCAATTAAATGATGGAGACATTATATACAGTTACTACATTCCACCAATAATTTTATACTATCAATCATTCTTTCCAAATGGATTTCCAATATTTTATGCCGCACTCAGACGAACAAAAGCTCAATCAGACTGAAATCAGATATAAAAAGTGTTTTTTAAAAAAAGTAACAGGAAGATCATATCTACCAGTGAAAGATCATTAAAAGTAGAGAGTTTGACAGAACAATCGCGTGACACGAAAAATAATGTCCTATCCTTGGTTACACTATATAACTACTGACTTCGGACAGAATGGACATTACATTGTACGTATCTCACATTCTGAAATATCGATTTCGACAATAGATCTTATCAGAGAATGATTGCAAATGAAACTAAGATTTCAAACAGTAGCTACAATAGAAAACCTTTATTTCGCTAAACTAAAATTATAGACATTTTGTTAAATCAGTCACATTTAATAGACAAAAGAGAAAGGAACCTTTTATTTCCTATCTAAATTGAACGCTTTGTATCTTCGTTCAAAATACGCGCGCAATAATTTTAGTTTAAGTAAGGATCACAGTGCCAATGAGCGGTGAAATACGTAATTCGATCATAATCGATTCCTCGCACTCGATCCGTAATATCGAAATGTAACGTAAAAATGTCAGTTTTAGGCGGGAAGCGCTGCAAAAAGAAGCAGAAATTCATTCAGAAGTTCACTTCAGGTAAAACTTGACATTTTGAACTTTTCATTCTTCATTTTTAGATGATTAACACTATATTTAAGAATAAGTTACGATACTGTAAAATACTGCTTTAAATTAATAAATGCTTTGTTACAAATATCTTTCAGGTTATTTCTTCCATGATGTTCGATAATTCTTGTCTAATTGCGATGATTTCCTTCCTTCGAACCAGAATTACACTCACAACAATGATCTTCTCATTGAATCACAAATCGCATGCAGTTTTGTCTCTCTGGTCGCATGTCAATCATGTCGTAGGATGAAAGATACAAATCGACACAAGTGATTGGTTATATTACGAATTTTCAACGTATAGTAACTGCAGGTATGTATTATACCCGTAAGTAGTAACATTTCCTTTCTTGTCTATATCTTATTCGTTAGATCAGGATAGGTTTTCTTGCACATCGTGGTTTTGAATGTTAATAACGATGCATTAATATTTAATTTTTATGTATAATATGATATCATAATATCATAATAATATATATTATAATATTGTACTATATATATATAATAATATTATACTATAATAATATATATTATAATTTTAATTTACATATATAGTATAATATTAGCATAATAGAATCTGTGATTGTAGATACACAGAGTATATTCATTATAATTATATATGCAAGATTATTTGCAAAGATAAAATATCCATATGAGTGCATGGTACATACATAATGAAATATGAATATTTGAATAAATTTTACATTGATTTTGTTTGAGTATTTTCTGGTAGAGAAGTCGGGTATACTCCGACATTATGAGTATTGCAATTTTTATTGAAATTATTATGAAATGTTAATGATGTATTACATGTATTGTTGTACATATTTAATTTTCTCTCATGTTTTATGATAATATTATCTGATTTTCATATTCATGTATATTGTCTGATTTCCATATCCATATAATTTGAGGCATGAAATTTAAAACGTGAAGATATTAAAGCTGCAAAACGACACTTGGCGAAAGGTAGATTTCAAAATCAGGGCGAGTTTCGAATGTTACATTTGTATCTTTAAAAATGTACTCTGATGAAGGAATCGTCTGAGGATATTTCTATCAATTTATCCACTGTTAGACACAATTGTTGCTCATTGAATTTCATATTATATGCATTGAATTTACTTTTACTTAATATTTCATAAATTTTCTTTTACTTTTATTTAATATTTCATATACACTGAAACTTTTACTTAATATTTCAATAACTTGCTAGATTATTGAAGTAAATTATAAATCATTAAATCATTAAATTATAAATCATTATAGAGTCATTGACTGAATCAATTATAATCAATTTTAGTATCACTGAAAATTGAAATAAAATGATTAACTCGTTAGATGATAAAACAGACACGTTTAATCATCTTTTTAGCTTGATTTTCTAGGGAAGCAATTCGAGAATGATTTATTAACAGTGAATTTTTTGCATTTCTCTCAATGAAAATTGAAATTTCTAATTTTTTTTCTTTCATGGATGTCATGAGCTTCTTTGAAAGCTCGTTCCAAAGTTAATGGCCTTTTAGGCTTCAAAAATTCACTTTTTTGAATAACAAGAATTATGATGTGTCACAGAGGTGAGACGTCAGGATTTTAGAGATGTTTAGATGGGGCATGGCCGAAAACAAATTGCGATTTTTTTTATTGTTTCGAGAGAAAATTAATTACGATTCGCGAGTCGCAGAGTCGCGAAGTAATCAAAATTTCGCGCAAACTTGCAAACTGGAGTCGCGAATGGACGTTAATTTCGTTAATTTGAATTAGAATTTTTCCTTGTTTGCTTCGGTTTCGTCGATAACCAGTGCTAAGTAACAACGTTGATACGTGTCTGCAGAACAATCGGAGTGAGTCACGACGTAAAAATCGAAGCTGTTGGCTCGCTCGATCAGCCCGCCTCTTGCGGAGCGCCTCTTCCTTTCGCGGTCCGACTCTGTGAATGAATCCATTCTAACAATAAGAATCCACCCATCAATCGACTCGCTCGCTGATATCGATTATTTAAGAGCCGAAAAAATTCAGTGAACTCACGATCAGAGAAGATTCGAGGGGATTTTTTCAGAATCATCTTTCGTCTATACAAGATTCTTCTTGGAAAATATTATATTATACCATAATTTATATACCATAATTTACAATGGGAAATATGACTTCTTTAAGAAAGATTATACTTTATCATAGAAAAAAATTCAGGATAAAAAATTAAACACAAGTTGCCAGGACATTTCAAAGAAGAAGAGCCAAATTATTTAATGTGAATCGAGATTTTTCAAATGTCTAACTGCATCATGTGTCTGTTTCAACTAAAATTATTATTATATTTTATTAATTTTTTTCATTTTCAGTTTCATTAGTGGACATTTAAGAATCAATATATGAAAATGTGAATATATAAAAAAATATCAAAATGAGAAAGTTAATTTTTTTGTCAAATATCGTCTGAATTCTCCCAATCCGGTCCACTGTGCTCCAACAGAAGAAGGAGCAATTTCGCAGTTCATTGCATGCTGACCGAACACCCACAGTTGAGAAACTTCTTCTTCCATCGTGGGAAGAAAAAAGAAAAGAAAGAAAGAAACAAGACAGGAAAGAGAGATCGAGTTTAGAAGAGGAGTTGGACAATCGATAATCGCGGCACGCGGTCGCGAATCGCATGATTACTTATGCATCGACGACAATTAAGCGTCGTTCGCGTTTCCTCTGTCGCAGGCTCGTAAGTTGTCGTCGACTTCTTGCAAGGTCTTATCGATCAGCGATACACGGTTGGCGATTACGTGGCGCACGAAGATTGCCACTGTTTGCGGTGAATTACCGGGCGACCGGAAACGATCAACGATATTCGTAGGGCGAAGAGGATGCTCGAACTTATGCTGCACTTGAACTTATCGCGCACGCGGATCGTTAACGCGACCTAGAAATAAGTACGTTGGATTTTCGATTGGCGTCGGCTTATCCGGGCATTTTAATTATCAATAAACTGCACTAGGTACTTATGCACCCGTGATGAAAATTATTCACAATTTCAATTGGAGTTTCGATCTAGTTGCACAACAGCTGTTTAATATGAAAGTTTAACGAAAGTTCAATTTTTTATCTGTGGTGGGCTTAATTCTATTTCGTGCAGAAGTTGTACAAAATATGGTTCACATGTGATATTGAGAAAAATTATATTATACTATATTAGGTATTAAATTATTAGACGTTATGTTAGGGATAAAAATTAATTCCAAGCATTAAACGGTTCATACGTGCAAACATATGAAAAGATAAAGCATAATTTCTAAGATAAAGGACTATATACTGTTGTGATATTTAACATTTACGAGAACAACGATGTGATGCAATTGCAATAGAAAAATGGCTGGATTATGGTATTTTTATCGTTGATCTTTTATTCGCTTAAAAATTGTAAAAATTCAGATTTTCCTAAAAGCATTGAAAAAATTTTTTTCGCAACTAAATCCTAAGTCAAGATCCTCAAGGATTCCTCAAAACTTGCTGTACGATTTTTTTCTTTTTTCATTAAAAACCTTTTAGAGTTAGGCTATGAAACTCAAAGTTTATTAAAAAAAAAAAAAAGTTAAAAAGAAAATCTCAAGCTTCAAGATTTCTGTTCTCATTGTTCAGTCATATTCTTCATTACAGTTAAATTCCATTTCTTGTACCCGCAAAAAAGTATAAATTCATATAAAAATTATCGTCGTCGAAGATACCTGTTATTGAAATTAATTACTGGCTAAAATCGGTTAACGAGTGTTATTCAGTTCAGAAAGTATTCAGGTTAGTATTCTATTCGTTTTCGTTTGATTTCAGTAGGGTGAACGTTAATTTCGTCGGTTCATTCACGAGGAGAAGCACTTCGAGTATTACACGGCGGTTTTGAATGAAACTTCGCAACTAGGTCGAGGCTCGGGATGTATCAGAAAATGATTTCGTTTGAAAAGCATTTAAACGCTCGATACTCGAAGAAACTGACGATTCCCCTTTCAGACAGGCTCGAGTAACCCTCGTTAACTAATAAAACCGTAGATGAAATCCTTATTTCGATGGATAAAAATTTGGGAAAGAAAGAGAAAGAAATGAGGAAGAAAGCGGGATTAATACTGACAACAATTACACGTTGAAATAAAAACTTAACTGACTGTTAAATTAATATCAATATTAAATTAATATCAATATTGAGATTGAAATATCTTTTTGTCAATTAATATCTTTTTGTCGTTCAAATTCCTAAACCATCTTGCTGAAAGCTTTATTTTCAAACATTTCTGAATTGTATGACAACATAATACGTATATTTATGACGATGTATCTTTAAAAAAAAATGGCTGGACTGTTACAACTTTTCCGATATAAGGCCCAATTATAAATTATAAATTGAACTACATATTCTGTTATAAAGTACAATTTAGAAGA